CACACATCACGGATGTTGGTTTAGCAACCGATGATGATAGTACTCACTCATGAGCTGACACTAATTGCACCCCCCCCCCGTCACATGTCCGGCTTTTAGGGTAAAATGTCCGGCCAAATGAAGCACAAAGTCCGGCTTTTGTGATTTTGGACCTGGCAACCCTAACCTAGATGTAACATTTTTTGAATTATGTACAATTGTACAAGCGTTATTTAATATACTAACCTCATATCTTCTAATTACGAACGCGATTTAGTTAATGTCCCAGAAACTTGCTATAACTATCCTCAATAAAATGCAAACCTTTAGTTAATACAAACTCGATCAAGTTACATCATTATTCGTCACAACTCGTCACGACTCGTCACGACTCTTATTTACATATCGATAATGACTTGTACGTTCTAACGATAACGACCTATTGCCAAATAGTCTATAATGATTATCATATCATAATCAATTTTAATAACCTTCAATTGGTTTGATAGTGAAAGTTTGCTCGTGATCACAATGTTAAATAATTAAGTTATAAAGTAACTAAACCTAAAATTGATAAAGCTTTCTTTTAAGGTACGAATAGCCCTAGGATACTAGCCAATGTGTACCTAGTGACTTATTTAAGGTCCTATGTCCCCTAGATGGGGCAGAGGGCGTCCACAACATTCCTACATCGCGTTCGGTCTTGAGCTTCGCGTTTGATCTCGCTCCAGGTCTTGCGGATTTTCTTCGCCTCGTCTGCTACAGTGCGCCGCCAAGTTTGCTTGGGACGACCACGTTTGCGTTTTCCTTGGGGGTTCCAATCCAGAGCCTGTTTAAGGATGTGATCGGGATCCCTTCGGAGAGTGTGGCCAATCCAGTTCCACTTGCGGCGCTTGATCTGCTGGTCGATCGGAATTTCGTAGCAGCGTTCCAATAGCTCGAAGTTGGAGTACCTAGTGCACGTGTAATAATAATTTTTAAAAACGTTGTGCCTTGTTATGCATAAAAAAAAAACCAGGATAAAAACCATCCCATGTTTCTTTGGGTCTTAAACTCTGTAACCATGTCATCTAAATAGGTTAGGTTTTAAAAGGGTGAAACTAAAAAGGTAATAAACAGATAGAGTTACTTTCGCATTTTTAGTATGGATGGCTGACTGATGGCTTGTTTTTAACAAGTTTAATTCAAGTAGGTATGTAGTTCCAATATCTATAGAGCAGGGTTTCCCATTTTTTTTTGCCAAGGAACCCTAATTGATTATACTTTTCCTTAGCGGAACCCCCGTACTACTCCGCCCGCACGCCCTGCCCCTCCCTTGTGCGTAAACAAGTCGGTGCGAGCGAACAACGTCGGTCACGAAATGTGGGATAATATTTTTTACGGAACCCTTGCGGCCTTTCTACGGAACCCCAGGGTTCCGCAGACAACCATTCGGGAACCGCTGCTATAGAGCATTATTCATCATCATCATTCCGGCCACAGGACGTCTGCAGCTGAACACAGGCCTTCCCCTATTAATTTCCAGATTAGCCGGTTGGAACTGGCCTGCATTTAGCGCCTTCCTCCTTCCTTTATGAGGTCGTCTGTCCATCTTGTGGGTGGACGTATATTGTACTTCATCTTATGATTTACACCAACTACCATATTATAAGGATGCACGCATGCGCGAGTGACGTAGGCTTGCGACACGCAAAATTGGCGCCATTGCACGATCGTCAGGCATTCTAGAGCAGGGGTGTTAAATTATCTAAAATCTAAATTAACATCACGATTTGTGCGATAAAGTAACTTAAGAACGACCTCAAGGAGTAATAATACTTAATATGTATAAGTGCAGACATAAAAATGTACGCAGTGCGCCAGATTTTTCGAATATATCAATCGAATTGCAGCTCGAAACCAACCTACCTTGAAGGTTAGAAATAAGTTCGTGTACCTTATGTGAAATTTGATATACTTAGGCCCGTATTCACAAACATTACTATGAGGTCTGACAGTGCGTGTGGACGCACAGGGTCACACGCGAACCAATCACAAAGCTCTATTCATAGCTGTGCATTCGATTTGCTGCGTCACTTAAGCAAGCATCGTTTGTGAATACGGGCGTCAGTTTAGACTAGTTTTCCTCACCCAATGACAGCACAGGATGTGCACAGACTTAATCACAAAGAGGGAAAACACATGTCCAACTTTCACCGAAGGCCGCAGGATGCGTTTGAATTCGCGGCGCGTGCGCAATAGTTTATTGATCCTTTCTTCCTTTTGGGCTAGGGTTCCCAGCTACCAGAAACTACGACAAAAATGCTAAGAAATTGAAAAGAAGAAGAAAAGTTTATAGGCACGAAAATAAACAAAAAGAAAATAACTTATCACAGCGAAAGCTACTTTCGTACCAAAAAATTGTAATTGGACCCAATTTCTAGATTTTTAGAGCTACTTAAATACTTATTATAATAATTGTGTTAATACTTCAGTGACAATATTTTACTAAAAATATATTTTGTTTGTTTCAGGTAAAGGAAACGTTGGCGTTGTTCTTCCACCAGGAAAAGTTCAATTTTCTTTGAAATAACATTATTATTCTTACTTGCAGAACTAAGTTCAACAAAATTCGATCCAATTTCAAGCATAAATTGATTTTTATGATTGAGATTGAATTAAATTTTAAGTGTTTTTTTGTATAAACCGCAAACTTTAAGATTTCTTGGTAAAAAGTGGTAAGCTTAGTAAGTTTTATCCTTATATTAAACCTAAAGATAAATCCGCATTCTCACCTCTTTTAGCAATGTCCTTGTGTTGACGTTTCAGTCAATATAAAATTATAACTACAATTCAATTGATTGACCAACTTACAGTTAATTACATATAAGATGATTTNCTGTATCTCCAGGTCACCTTGATACATTCCATAGCAGCTATTTAGGTACATACATTTACCAATTTTGGTGATAAATAGGCATTTAGTATTAGTTTTTGTATGACGCCTGAACAAAACAAAGGGTAATAATTTGGTGTTTCATTCATTCATTTCTCATTTCAATCATTCATTTAGTCTTATTTAATGCAGGATTAAATGCCCTTCAACCGTCAGGAAGACCACTTTTCGGTAGGGTAAGTCCTTTACGCGGTATAAACAGAAAACCGAAAAAGCGCCCCTTTCGGGGGCCCCCACCACTTAAGCATAACTCCGTCGTAGTCGAAAACCTAGGAGAGTCTTAATGGGCAACCAATGAAGCCATTAAAGCAATAAAATCTTTTGTAGGAATTATTTCCGATTTAAAATCTAATTCTACTGGCCTATTATGCAAGGTTCATAATTTCTAAAGCTTGGAGCGCAAACATAAAAGAGGTATAAATTTAATGCGCGATACAATTATTTTTTTCGTTTTATTATCATGTGTTAACGGATTAACGATTAACGTTAACTTGCGTTAAATCTTGCGAAATGTAACGTTTTAACGAAGTTAATTTTTTTATTAACGGTTTAACGATTAACGAAGTTAACTATTTGATTAACGGTGCCCAGCTATGCCCAAGTCCTATCCCACTTGGTCCCATTTTGTAACTTGTTGTCTCACTTGAAAATGTCACAAATGAATTCGGCCTCAATGTGTATTGCCAACATAAAGAAAAAGAAGAAGAAGAGGGATATTATTTTTATAGCTTCGAACGACTCATAAAGTTAATATTCCATAAAATTGGTTGAGCTGTTTAAAAGTGATGGGGGGTGAATGTAGGAAATGAAAACAACATGTCTACAAAATTAAATGTCGTGTGTATGGTACAAATGAGTATCAAATAAAAGAGCACTGTACTTCGCATTTAATGTCTATTAGCTAAGATTAATTTGCAAATAGAAATAAAATTAAACAAAAATTTAAAGGCACTGGGTCTCTATCAGAAGGAACTCTAGGGGTGGAATCTCCATTGGCGTGGGTTAACGGGCAAGGAGATAATATCTTGGATGGTTGACAATCACTTTTCCTATAATTTAACGTTCCACCAAACTCAACACGCTTTCAAAGATAACCTCGCAGCCGCCTTGCTGCTCACACTTGACATGACACAACTGATTGACAGTTTTCTTTTTCTGCGCACTAGTCGGGTGTTACGTTTAGGAATCACAAACCTTCCGCTCTACAGATTTATACAGATAACATAATATTAAGATTGGTACTATTAATCATCAATAATAATTGCAGCATCTGTGTCCGGCGCCGACAAATTTATTTTGTTGTTAGCCGGTGTAGCCAGTACAAAAAAGTTATAAAGTTGTAGTTTTTGCAAAAAAATATCAGAATCGGAACCAAAAAGATAATATTTGTCTATGGGTGGACCTGGACATTTTCAATAAAGATGTGTCGTGATGGGTTTTTGAAATAACGAAACGCGACGGTTTTCGAGTCACGAATAACGTTTTCAAAACTAGTTTTTTTTAAACGAAGTTATTTCCACAACGCTCAAGCAAGAGTGATAATAATAACGTTAGGTGTTTGGTTAGCTGCAAGGCCTTTAGGAATTTATGACCTTCAAAATAAGACTCAAATTCGATTGACTATCTAACGGACGACGAAGATTATACCTATTTCATCCACACTTATGTTAACGTCCTATAGCTTTCTCACTCGCACACGCACTCGATTCGTTGCGATCCTTATTATTTGGACACCATACATTACTCGCTTTACTCCTTTAGGTTACAAAAAATATGTTTAAGAATTGTCAATGTACGACGTTGTCCTCAAAACTGTCATAACGAAGCGGGAAACACGTTATTTTTTGTGTCAACCAAACATCTACCTTATGTTGTTTGCTTAAGAGTGAATTCAGTTTAGCTTCAGAGCGTTGTGGAAACAATCGTGTTGAATAACGAAGAGATTCTAACGTTGTATGACGTTAAGAAAAAAACTAGTTTAGGCGTTTTTGGATAACGAGTGATCACTGGTCAGGCTAATCACTCGTTTAATAACCAGTGATAACGAATAACGCCCATCGCTAATTTTCAATCATCATTCAATCAATCTGCTTCATCATTCATTCATTCATTTATGCCATGCACGGTTTTGTGTCGTGTAAAATTTTGCATTTTTTGGATAAATTGATAAGTTTTACCTTAGGTGATGGAACGCTAGATATTTGAAAATGAAGTCCATGGTGGCTTACGTCCGTAGCCTACTCGGATGGTGTGACGAAAGTCCAGCGATTAGAACAAGCTTCAAACGAGACAGGTATGACATGTTTACAACATTGTGGTGGTTCAGTTATTATGGCGGCAAAGTGCACGAGAAAATTGTGTTTACTGCATTGTAAATTGGTGTTATTATGTTGAAAATACCATTAAAAGCAGCTTCTAGATTTTGGAAGTCAGTAACGCTAAATACAAGCGGTAAATTGTGTTCGCAATCACTATTACACATGAAAATCTTTCTTTCAGGGCAGAGGATGATTTTTCGTCCGATGATGATACTCCAGCATTTAAAAGGCTCAAACACTTGAAGAGAACAAGTTTTCCTGACATAATGGCAACGAATGGTAATTGTGTATAAACTAGTCATTTATTGAGTCTTATTTCTTCAGGAGATTTAAAACAACTACTTTATTACAGATTTATGGGACAAGGATGATAAACCAAGCAAAAATGTACGCTACGTGCCAATCCAGATTGAAGCAGGTCATCCAAGCACCTCTACTCCTAATGAAGTGCCTGGCAAGTCAAGTCGAACCAGAACTGTTCCTATCAAGCTTGTAGGGGTTTCAGAAAATGGCCCTTCCACACCTTCTAGAAAACCAAGGATTCACACACCAGTGAAGCCTGTGATACATGCTGTGATTGATGATGAAGATGAAGATGATGAGCATGAGGTAATTAATGTATATGATATAGTATATTAATATCGAACTGAAATTATTTAGTAATTTTTTAATCATTATTTCCAATCTCCCTTTTTACAGGTGACATGGGTTGAAAGTAAATCAGATACAAAGCCTTCAAAAGTATACATAAACTTAGAAGATGACGAAGATGATGTCATATTTGTAAAGAAGAAAATAAATTCACCTCCACCAATAAAACCCTATAAATTCTTCATAAAAAACAGTGATACATCTGATTCCAGAGATGACTCTGTACAGTATTACAAGTTAAGTCGAAAATTAAGTGATCGTAACTCCATTAATATGTCTCCAAAAACATACAGCAAATTTAAAGCACCAGCAGGTGTCACAAAAACATACAAGAAAGTCCCCACATCAGTGCCTAGATGGATGCAATCTTCAAAACCCTCGAATCTCGCAAATACAAGAAATCGGTTATTAAATCTCAACATCAATGGCAATGCTAGGTCAACGCTATCTGAAGTGTTTAATTTAGATGAGAAGAGAAATTACCAAGAATTAATAAGACGAGTGGCTAATTCAATGAAACCAATATCATTCAACAAACCTTTAGATGTAATAAATTTGGCAGAAGATTCTGCATCTTTTAGATACACACAAAGAGCTCAGAAAAAGGCATTAGATGAAATAAAACTAGTAGAAAAAGGCTTGTCCTTGAACAAAGAAAATGAAAACGCAAAAGAGTATGACCCAATCACAGTAGCTTCCATCAACTCGTCCGATTCTGAAGTAGAAATAGTTCCTTCAGAATCGTCCACAACCTCATCAGTTAGAATCGAGCCCATAAATTCACTCAGAGAGTCGCTCAAAGAGAAAGATGTGACATCAGGCGACTGGCTCGCCAAATTGGATTCCAAATACAATAAGAAGAAACAAGACACTCAAGAGAAGCTGCACGACGCTCGGAAAGAGGCGGACATCATATCGAAAGTGAACAACGAGCAGAAGCGAGCTCACCTGGAGCACAGGCTGAAGTACGAGCTCAGCATCTCGGAGAGTTTGTTCGAGGAGCCACAGCCCGCCGTTGAGCTGCCGCCGCTCACGCCGGAGCAGGACAAGCTCGTCAACCGCGCGCTCGGGCCCGGCCCGCCGGGGCAGCTGCTCGTCGAGAAGTTCAATCTGAGGATACACAGGTATGTGGCCGTTTGGATTCCTGGACTTAGGACCTTCATCGTGTACAGGTGGCTTCTGCCACTCAATTTACTGCTGAAATTATTTACAGCTTTACCGCTGTAAGAATTAAACTTTATTACTAAATTACTTATCTGAAATTGACAATACATACACACTAGATATTGGATTAAAATCTGAGTAAAAGAAAATTGACTCATTTAACAAATTATTCAATAACAGTGTAAACCTTCACTAGAGTTATTTCAATAGCTCGCAGGGGACGCCATCCGCTCAGTTAAGGTTCAGTCAAACCAACGCGATCACCGATCAACCGGCGTGCAGCGATGGCGATCAGACTTAAATGCATTGGTCGCCATCGCTGCACGTGTGATCGCGTTGGCTTGACCGAACCTTTAATGAGAGAACAGAGCCTCTCATGACAAATGAATGTCCCCAGACGCGACCTGCAGACGCTGTGCGGGCTGAACTGGCTGAACGACGAGGTGATCAACTTCTACATGAACCTGCTGATGCAGCGCGCCGCCGAGCGGCCCAAGCTGCCGCGCGTGTATGCCGCCAACACCTTCTTCTACCCCAAGCTCATGCAGGCGGGCCAGGCCGGCCTCCGCCGCTGGACCCGCAAGGTACCTTTACCTTTGTTTATTCTTTGTTGGTATTAATGATAAATGGGCAGGACACATAGTACGAAGAATTGACGGCCGATGGGGAGCAAGGTTCTAGAGTGGAGGCCACGTACCGGAAAACGCAGCGTGGGACGTCCACCCACAAGGTGGACCGACGACCTGATAAAGGTAGCAGGAAGGCGCTGGATGCAGGCCGCTACCAACCGTGCGATGTTGAAATCATTAGGGGTTCAGCAGTGGATGTCCTATGGCTGAAATGATGATGATGATGATTAATGATAAATTATATACCGTTGGCCCACACACCTTGCACTTCAGTTGACGACCCATTCGTGACCTGCCCCCAAATTTAATGGCAAAATGTGGCAGTTGTAAGGCCTACGCTCCGGCATTTTGATTAATTAAAGTACATACTTCGCTCCATGAAGAGACTCAATTTTCGGAGCGATCATAAAGTAAAACGTTTATTGGGTTCTAAATTCAGGTGCGATTGTGGTCAAATACCTGCCAAAACAAAAGGGGCAACTGATCTCTCGCCCGTGTACGTCTTTCTGCACTAAGCCTCCAATTCCTCCAATTTCAAATGAGCAGCCACTCTGAAGGTTCGATCAAACCAAGCGTGAAGCCCGCGAGCACGACGGCGATGGCGATCAGACGTAAACGCATTGATCGCCATCGCGCACGCAGCCTGATCGCGTTGGCTTGGCTGAACCTTGACATCATGGACGGCCCACAAGATAAGATAAGATAAGATAATTTATTTATTTGCTTAAAACAGGTGGACATCTTCGCGCACGACCTGCTAGTGGTGCCGGTGCACCTGGGCGTGCATTGGTGCGTGAGCCTGGTGGACTTCCGCGCGCGCCGCGTGGCCTACCTGGACAGCATGGGCGGCCGCAACACCGCCTGCCTGCAAGCCCTGATGCAGTACCTGCGCGACGAGCACCAGGACAAGAAGGGCGCGCCCTTCGACGACGCCGGCTGGCGGACAGAGTGTCTCAAGGTATGTACACACCTTTCCCAAGTAGCATTCGGGGTTCTATAGTCGTTCACATGTACTCCACAAGCTGTGTATGTCAGCTGTATACGAGCTGTATCGCCGAGCACGTAGAATTTCGTCCAATGACCCCAAGCTACCTTATCCTTATCGCACGCTCGTAATTAATTTGCTATCGCGCTCACACACTCGCGACCGCGAAATTCTACGTGTTCGGCGACCGGACTATAGTCGTAACTCGTAGCGCGCTTATCGATTCGCAAAGGGATACCGAGTGTGGTTTGCGGTAGGGAGTTTCATACGAAATACTGAATGACTCGAGTTGATAATATCAACTCCGTATTATGGTGACGGACGATCCCTTTCCGAGGTGATGATAACTTGTGCTTTATACCTAAGAACATAAATCAAACCATGCAAAGTAGTAATTGATTGCCGTTTCTGAAAATGTGCAACAGTCATATGCCTATGTTGTCCCTCTTTTCATGTCTCTTCTTCTTCTTTTATTTTCGTTCTGAAACTTCCTCAGCAGGGCTGTTCTGAAACGCTGTTTACCTAGTTTCGGGTCTATCTGTCCCCGTCGCTCATGCTGGCGTCTCGCTTTGCGTGAGAGAGATGGCAACATTCGAAACTTCGGATAACGTTTTCCGGAGTGACCCCGCTTTCGTCGTCGTATTCGGGAGTTACCTACATTTGATTTGCCGAGAATTAATCGTAAAAACACTATCTCGGTTACTTTCTCTTTCCCCCACCCATGCGTCATCCATACTTCGCGCGCTTCTTATCGGTAAATTTTCCGCATAGTGTACTCGCGCCATTAGTTCGTAACCATGGGTCCTCCTGTCATGGCAGTGAAATGTTGTTCAAATAAATAAACTAAGTGAACCTCGATCATTATCACTTCACAGAATTTTACAACAAAACTTTTAAAACGGTAAAAGACCCTCCCGACGTTTCAACTCGGTTGCACGAGTCACGAGTCGCGGGCAGACTAAAGAGATGCGGCGTAAAAATGTAGCATAATAGCTTAAAATATTATATGAACCTCGATCGTCCCCAGGACATCCCGCAGCAGATGAACGGCAGCGACTGCGGCATGTTCGCGTGCACGTTCGCCGAGTTCACGTGCCGCGACGCGCCCTACACCTTCTCGCAGGCCCACATGCCGTACCTGCGCCGCAAGGCCGCGCTCGAGATCCTGCAGGGCAAGCTGCTGCTATAGACCGCAGGCCGCAGACCGCAGGCCGCGCGACACCACTCGCGACCACCGAGCGTTTGTTCCCGAAAGTTTAGTGCGTCGAGTGTAATTTCAGTGTGTGATGAGTGATGACCGGCGTTGACGACCTCCCGAGATACAGGGTGGAATCTTGTAATGCCACCTGGAGGGAAAGTACTCTTAATACTGTAGATAGAAAATTTTACTGAAAGAAAACATTCCTTTATTTTTGAAAAGAAAGAGAACTGCATTCAAAGATTTTTGAAAATTTTTAGAAAATTCCCTATTGTATGGTATGGTATAATACAATTTTCTGTACATAATGAAAATAACTCAAGATTTCATGGTTTTCCTTTCATTTGATTTATCAAGTTTGTTAGAGAGATTTCATCCTTATACTTAACCCTAACGATCAATGCAATAAAAATACAGGGTGTAATTTTTAACAAATTATAGTGGTTCGATTCCCGGGTGTGGCAAACAATTTTTTTGAAATCTTTGAATGCAGTTCTATTTCTTTTCAAAAATAAAGCAATGTTTCCTTTGAGTAAAATTTTCTATCTACAGTATTAAGAGTACTTTCCCTCCAGGTGGCATTACAAAATTCCACCCTGTATAGTATGAAGTGCCGCGCAATAGCGAGCGTCGCCTGAGACAGTAAAATTTCCGCTACCTAGTTAAGTCTGAAACTATTTAAGTTATATTTATATCGCTGAGCCTGGTCGGGTCGCGCGCGTAATTCCGACCGGCGCGGCGCCTTTAGTGAACCTTATTTTAATACTTGATTGATTTATGTATAAGTATCATAGAAATATGTACATAATATTATTATAACACTACTCTTGAATGTTTGTTTCTTCCAGTAGAACTTAAAAATAATAAATCAGTTACAAAATAGTCATTGCATTTGAGATTTTCTCGAGGTGGTGTAGGGTGACATGATTCAGTTGTTTCTTTAAGTAAGCAGTAACAATATTCACACATTATTAACTTTACTAAATAGGACATTTATTGCTATCCTTTTTTCTTTTTATTATCTTCATTATACACATTTTCTTTGTCCCTCAACAAGCAGATGAGAAAAACTTTGCAACCTCTATAAAGTGAAGAACCAAAAAATATTGATCATATTTTTTGGCACATGCCTCATGCATGTAGCGACTAGCGATTAATAGAATATCAGTCTAAATACACTGGGCCCAGAGCCAGAGACCTAATGATACCTGTGTAGTGAAAACATAAGTTAAAGTTTAGTTACCACTTTGTAATTGCTTGCATGGTGTAGGTATACTTAGAGTAGGCGCACACCGTTGATTTTTCGTCGGCCGATGGTTTAGTCGGGCAGTTGATCAGTATGGGCATGTATGGGAGTGCGCACACTACGCCGATTCGATTTGGCCGATTCTTCATACAAATTAAAATCGGGCACAACTATCGGCCAACTAAAAATCAACGGTGTGCGCCTACTCTTAGAAAATTAAATGTTTTGTAGGGGTGGCATCGTTTTTATCTTTGATATGTAATTTTGTCTAATTAATTGGTTGTATATTTTGATCTCTGATCTCTAGCAGACATAAATCTTATATAACATAAATAATATAGACTGGGTGGCAATATTGGATCATTACGGTTTTTAATTCGACTTTATGACTTATCACACATTTTTGTTCAAAATTCGACTAAAACAAATATTTCCATTCCATGAGATCTTGTGAGAAAAATTTGTGTTTGTAAATTTGTACTTTTTCTCTCTACTAAAATGCTTATTATTATTACCCCCTTCAATTTTGTTACGAATTCAGACGCATTGTGATTTCTTGTCATTTAGTTTATTTATAATGCTAGTTTGTAATAAAATGTAAACAATTTCATTTGGAAGTTTTGTAATTAGGTATTTTTATCAAAGTTAATAATCAATCTGTGTGGTGACTGTTTTGTCCATCTTGTCAAGCACTTGGATGCCTGACAAAATGAACGTTTTCACATTTGATGTGAAGACTATCCTAAGTTGTCTAAGTGATGGAGTAAATTAAATAATAAAACATTATGAAATCAATGCAACTTTTTATTAAGCTCCTCACACAACTAATTTAAAGCTAACTGATACTTGTAGACAGACATTTTCGTTCTTTATGTTTTCATCATAACTAGTGGCGCTTTATATTATTTTTTACCGTGATTTTCATTGATTGTGACCTCTATGGTCTGTTCTTGTTATAAAGGGTATTTTTACAAGACCTAAATTACATTAAAGATCCAAATAGAACCAAACGAATCACGCTCACGCCACGTGCCGCTTACACATGAGATAGTACAGGCGACAGCATATTAGGCTACACATTTTTTGTTGCATATTAGCAACTATGCAACTATATACAAAGGTGCTTGATGTACCGCCGCCCGCGCGTCAAGCAGTCATTTGAGCATGCTCAGGCGAATGAGCGGCTCATTTGACGCCTGATCGGTCTATCCTAGGCCTGGAGTCCACTTTGATCACCTGGGTGATAAAGTGGACTCCAGCCGACACTTTGGTGTCCTTTGATCACCATCGATAAGATCACCTAGGTGATCGAAATGGACTTCTTATCCATGGGTGATCAAAGGACACCAATGACGACCGCCTGATCAGGCTCAGACGCCTCCGCTGGTGCAGCTCGGCCAAAGGAGCCGGCATCGCCTGAGCATGCTCAAGTATACAGGGCGTCATTCGACGTTGACGCGGATGAGGCGCAGCTTGTTGTCCTCGAGCAGCGCCACGCCGGCGTCGTTGCTGCCGCCGCAGTAGCGGTTGGACGAGAACACCGACACCAGCCGGCCGCGCAGCTGGCACTGGACACAGTGAGCTGGTTACAAACTACCTCGCGGTCCGTGAAACATGGAAGCAGCTGAGGGATATGGAGTATTCTAGTAGTTTTCTACGGTGTCTGGTAACGGTGGACGATTTCGAGAAGATATACCTACACGAGTACCTACTTGTACAATCGCACTTAGGTATAAGCACTTACGCCCGTATTCACAAACATTACTATGAGGTCTCACAGTGCGCGTGAACTCACAGGGTGACATATGAACCAATCACAGAGCTCTATTCAACGTTATGCGTTCGATTTGCGGCTTCACTTAAGCAAGCATCGTTTGTGAATACGGGCGTTAGTCTGGCCTAATATAGACACTACATAAACGAGTAAACTGTCTGAGTGGACATTGATTGACTGAAATGATGACGATACCTGATATTACAGCGATCCACGGAAAAGGTTATGAACTATGATAACATTTTCCGTAGGTCGCGAACTGCAACTGCCTAGACGATCCGATTTCCACCAAAGCGCAGAGAAGATGTGTTCGAATAACCAATCAGATTTCGTTATTTCGACATCACTTCCGCTCAGCTTCAGTTCGGAAATCTGATTAGTTATTCAAACGCAGAACTGACGGCCGATGGGGCAGCAAGGTTCTGGAATGGAGGCCGCCCTACCGGAAAACGCAGCGTGGGACGTCCACCCACAAGGTAGACCAATGACATCATAAAAGTAGCAGGGAAGCGCTGGACGCAGGCCGCTACCAATCGATCAACATGGAAAGCATTAGGGGAGGCCTATGTTCAGCAGTGGACGTCCTATGGCTGAAATGATGATGATTCAAACACATTCTTCGCTTTGGTGGAGGTCGGGCCTGCCTGCAGGGTTACTCCGAAACGCTGTTTACGTAGTTTCGGGTCTATCTGACCCCGTCTCACTTTGGGCGAGAGGGATGGCAACATTCGAAACTTCGGATGTTTTTCGGAACAGCCCCAGAGTACGCACCATGAACCCGGACTGGTGCAGCTCGTGCGCGCGCAGCACGTGCGACAGCTGGTTGGCCAGCAGGAAGCGGTCCAGCGCGCTCTGGTCGAACACGTGGCCGGTGCCGCGCTTGGCGTTGGCCGCGAAGCCCTCGTTGGCGGCCAGCTCCAGTGCTAGCGTCGCCGTCATCTTGTTCGGCCTGCTCAGTACAGGTGAGATTGTACAGCAGTCGAATAGTTCTTGACACCCAAAGTAGTCGAAAACTTCGCAACGCGTCTTTGTTACGATTGGGATAAGGTTTTTTTTATGCATATAACAAGGCAGGTATTTGACCGCAATCGCACCTGATGTTAAGTGGGATGCAGTCTAGGATGGTACATATCTGCCCTGTAAGGCCTCAGCCTCGAACTTAGCGGGCAGCGGGGCGGGAGCGGCGGCGGCGCTGGAGCGGGGCGGGCAACGCAGACCCGTTCTCGAAACAAGCGGGCAGCTCGCACGGCGCTTTAGCGGCGAAGTGTTGTGTTCGGGGTTGTGTTTTCGAGATATTTGTTTTTATTCGCAAACGAAATGTCTGAACAACGGCGACAATTTTATTTCGATTCAAATTTATTCCTAACGCTCGATTTATTGTGGGCAAAAGAAGGAGTGCGCTGCCCGCTCGTTGCCCGCTCCCTCGCCGCTGCCCGCTCGTTGCCCGCTGCCGCGCCGCTGTTTTCGAGAACCGGTCTATTTGATTTTACGCATAAGANTCGTCGAGAAGTTCAATCTGAGGATACACAGGTATGTGGCTGTTCGGGTTCCTAGATTTAGGACCTTCATCGTGTACCTAGGTGGCTTCTGCCAGTCAATTTACTGCTAGAATTATTTACAGCTTTACTGCTGTAGGAATAAACTATAACACTAAATCACTTATCTGAAATTGACAATACATACACACTAGATATTGGATTAAAATCTGAGTAAAAGAAAATTGACTCATTTAACAAATTATTCCATAACAGTGTAAACCTTCACTAGAGTTATTTCAATAGCTCGCAGGGGACGCCATCCGCTCAGTTAAGGTTCAGTCATACCAACGCGATTAACCGGCGTGCAGCGATGGCGATCAGACTTAAATGCATTGGTCGCTATCGCTGCACGCCGGCTGATCGCGTTAGTTTGACCGAACCTTTAATGAGGGAACAGAGCCTCTCATGACAGATTAATGTGGTCCCCAGACGCGACCTGCAGACGCTGTGCGGGCTGAACTGGCTGAACGACGAGGTGATCAACTTCTACATGAACCTGCTGATGCAGCGCGCCGCCGAGCGGCCCAAGCTGCCGCGCGTGTATGCCGCCAACACCTTCTTCTACCCCAAGCTCATGCAGGCGGGCCAGGCCGGCCTCCGCCGCTGGACCCGCAAGGTACCTTTAACTTTGTTTATTCTTTGTTGGTATTCTTCTTGTCGTGTCGACAACAAACCTACACAGCGTCAGCCCAAAACTCCGCCACAAGAGTGGCGTTGTCAGTAGCCTTCGTTAAATCTTCCTGCGTGCAGTTGTTTGGGCACGCAGGGCACGACATCATGTGCTTCGTCGACTGGGGAACAAAACCACACTTGCACTCCAAGTTTGAGCTATCCAAGAATCCCCACCTGAACAGATTGTCCTTACTACGGCCGACCTGCGTCCGAAGTCTATTTAAAGATTTCCATGTAGGCCAGGGGAGCTCATGTCCTGGCGGAGGACTCTCAGACATAGGGACAAAAGGACAGGGAAGATCAGCTCTCAGTAGTTGGTATTAATGATAATAAAATATACCCTGTTGGTCCACGCACTTTGCACTTCAGTTGACGACCGATTTGGGACCTACCCCCAAATTGAATGACAAAATGTGGCAGTTATGAGGTCTATGTTCCGGCATTTTTTTTAACCTTGACATCATGGACGGCCCACAGGTGGACATCTTCGCGCACGACTTGCTGGTGGTGCCGGTGCACTTGGGCGTGCACTGGTGCGTGAGCCTGGTGGACTTCCGCGCGCGCCGCGTGGCCTACCTGGACAGCATGGGCGGCCGCAACGCCGCCTGCCTGCAAGCCCTGATGCAGTACCTGCGCGACGAGCACCAGGACAAGAAGGGCTCGCCCTTCGACGACGCCGGCTGGCGGACAGAGTGTCTCAAGGTATGTGCACGCTTTTAGCAGGGTACTCATCTAGCCGTGTAGCATGTAATGTATCAAGTGAGTACGTAAGCACGAGCCCGCTGCTCGCGCGTGGTTCGAGGGAGATCGCAGCACAAAGGCGGCTCGCAGCCAGATACGCGATGACCGTGGACGAGCCGTACTCACTTGAAGGTTGGTTACGTTACATTTTACGTTACGTGCTACATGGCAGGTGAGACCCTGCCTTTTAGTCGTAGCGCGCTTATCGACACTCCAATGCAGAATAGTCTTATACCGGGAGTTTCATGCAAAGAATACTAAACTCATATTTCATAATATATTATTGCAAATAGGCTTTTAAAATGTACTTTTACACATCCAGTCCCAGAGCAATCTTCAAGCAAGTGGCGATCCCTTTCCGAGGTGATAACTTGTGCTATGATGTAAATCAAAGTTACTTCCAAAATACCAGTAGGATTATTTTGAAACGCTGTTTACGTAGTTTCGGGTCTATCTGTCACCGTCGCTCATGCTGGCGTCTCGCTTTGCGTGCGGAACGCTTTCGTCGTCGTATTCGGGAGTTACCTATATTTGATTATACTTTACTTTGGGATTTGGGATGATACTTTGGAAACTAATGAACTAAGCAGGGTTCGAAAATATCCGATATTTATTATAAATATCAAAATATCGGATATTTATGATATATATCCGATATATATCAATTTTGTATGAAAGCCATAATATTATTTTATTGTATTATTCATGAATACTATTGCATATGTGTTACATAAACATGTTTTTAATGTTTTTAAAACTTAAAATCAGACAAATAAAGCAAAAACATAAAATATCTTTTAAATACGGCAAAATCAACCAAAAAAATAAAAATCTTATGACAAAAAGTACAAATACAGTAACAAATTTTAAAAGTTGATATATCATCAAAACCGGCTTGATATATATCGGATATATATCCGATATATATCTTGATATATATCCCTTGATATACAGTGTGTCCGGGCATGTAGTGATCAAACTTTAAGGGCGTAATCTATGGACAATTTTATCGATGAAAATACTTCAAATTTGGGACCTGACCCATTTCTCGAAAAATTACATCGATTTAAGTTTTTAATTTTTAGTTTACACCTCTGCTTTAAAAAACAAGTGAAAGCGTGGGTAGCTTAACATTAATAGGCAAAAATATTATATCATGCGATAGCCAATAAAATTACCTATTAGCAGAAGTAGAAAACAGATACAAGTTCCATACATTTTAAGGGAGTAAGAATGGATTTAATTAGAAAAAAACGCGACTTTTTTCACTTCTTTTTTAGTTATTTTCCAACACAAGAAAAACCAGGTCGTTAAGGTATGTTTTATTTGCATTGTGTTTTTAGTATTTGAGCTATTCTACAAAACGAATGTAAATTTATTAGTCTACGTCTATTAATTTTGACGTAATTGTTGAACAAAGATACCCCTTCCCAGTGGTTTCCATAGCGCACGCGACATGCGAAAATGCACTGCCTGAAAGAATCACACAACCTATTCCGATAAATAAATTGTTTTGGAAAATAACTAAAAAAGAAGTGAAAAAAGTCGCGTTTTTTTCTAATTAAATCCATTCTTACTTCCTTAAAATGTATGAAACTTGTATCTGTTTTCTACTTCTGCTAATAGGTAATTTTATTGGCTATCGCATGATATAATATTTTTGCCTATTAATGTTAAGCTACCCACGCTTTCACTTGTTTTTTAAAGCAGATGTGTAAACTAAAAATTAAAAACTTAAATCGATGTAATTTTTCGAGAAATGGGTCAGGCCCCAAATTTGAAGTATTTTCATCGATAAAATTGTCCATAGATTACGCCCTTAAAGTTTGATCACTACATGCCCGGACACACTGTATATCCTCGAACCCTGGAACTAAGCGAACCTCGATCGTCCGCAGGACATCCCGCAGCAGATGAACGGCAGCGACTGCGGCATGTTCGCGTGCACGTTCGCGGAGTTCACGTGCCGCGACGCGCCCTACACCTTCTCGCAGGCCCACATGCCGTACCTGCGCCGCAAGGCCGCGCTCGAGATCCTGCAGGGCAAGCTGCTGCTATAGACCGCAGGCCGCAGACCGCAGGCCGGGCGACACCACTCGCGACCACCGAGCGTTTGTTCCCGAAAGTTTAGTGCGAGTGATGTGATGACCGGCGTTGACGACCTCCCGAGATATAGTAAGTGAATGCCGCGCGATATCGAGCGTCGCCTGAGACAGTATCCGCTACCTAGTTAAGTCTGAAACTATTTAAGTTATATTTATATCGCTGAGCCTGGTCGGGTCGCGCGCGTAATGCCGGCCGGCGCGGCGCCTTTAGTGAACCTTATTTTAATACTTGATTGATTTATGTATAAGTATCATAGAAATATGTACATAATATTATTATAACACTACTCTTGAATGTTTGTTTCTTCCAGTAGAACTTTAAAGTAATAAATCAGTTACAAAATAGTCATTGCATTTGAGATTTTCTCGAGGTGGTGTAGGATGACATGATTCAGTTGTTTCTTTAAGTAAGCAGTAACAATATTCACACATTATTAACATTACTAAATAGGACATATTGCTATCCTTTTTTCTTTTTATTAATGATACACATTTTCTTTGTCTCTAAACAAACAGATGAGAAAAACTTTGCAACCTCTATAAAGTGAAGAACCAAAAAATATATGTTCATATTATTTAACATAATAAATGGAAACATTATTTACATGCCTCATGCATGTAGCGACTAGCGATTTATAGAATATCAGTCGAAATACACTGGGTCCAGAGCCAGAGACCTAATGATACCTGGAGCTGTGTAGTGAAAAAACAAGTTAAAGTTTAGTTACAACACTTGCATGATGTATACATAGAAAATTAAATGTTTTGTAGGGGTGGCATCGTTTTTATCTTTGATATGTAATTTTGTCTAATTAATTGGTTGTATATTTTGATCTCTAATCTCTAGCAGACATAAATCTTATATAACATAAATAAATAGATTGGGTGGCATATTGGATCATTACTGTTTTTAATACGACTTTATGACATATCACACATTTTTGTTCAAAATTCGTCCAAAACAAAAATATTTCCATTCCATGAGATCTTGTGAGAAAAATATGTGTATTTGTAAATTTGTACTTTTTCTCTCTACTAAAATACTTATTATTTACCCCCTTCAATTTTGTTACTAATTCAGACGCATTGTGATTTCTTGTCATTTAGTTTATTTATAATGCTAGTTTGTAATAAAATGTAAACAATTTCATTTGGAAGTTTTGTAATTAGGTATTTTTATCAAAGTTAATAATCAATCTGTGTGGTAACTGTTTTGTCCATCTTGTCAAGCACTTGGATGCCTGACAAAATGAACGTTTTCACATTTGATGTGAAGACTATCCTAAGTTGTGTAAGTGATGGAGTAAATTAAATAATAAAACATTATGAAATCAATGCAACTTTTTATTAAGCTCCTCACACAACTAATTTAAAGCTAACTGATACTTGTAGACAGACATTTTCGTTCTTTATGTTTCCATCATAACTAGTGGCGCTTTATATGATTTTTTGCCGTGATTTTCATTTGATTGTGACCTCTATGGTCTGTTCTCGTTATAAAGGGTATTTTTACAAGACCTAAATTACATTAAGGATCCAAATAGAACCAAACGAATCACGCTCACGCCACGCGCCGTTTACAAATGAGATCGTACAGTCGACAGCATATCAGGCTACTCCAAAGGTGCTTGATGTACCGCCGCCCGCGCGTCAAACCTTGTATCTGTCACCGTAACATTGTGAATTCCGTCAGATTATAATCTGACGTAGTTAAATTACAATCTAACCTAACCCACTGTTAGTTTACAATCTAACGCGTTTTATTATAAACTGACAGAGTTCACAATTTCACGTTGACATAATCCACTTGAGCATGCTCAGGCGAATGAGCGGCTCATTTGACGCCTGATCGATCTATTCTAGGCCTGGAGTGCACTTTTATCACCTGGTTGATCAAAGTGGACTCCAGGCGACACTTTGGTGTCCTTTGATCACCATGGATAAGATCACCTAGCTAGGTGATCGAAATGGACTTCATCCATGGGTGATCAAAGGACACCAATGACGACCGCCTGATCAGGCTCAGACGTCTCCACTGGAGCAGCTCGGCCAAAGGAGCCGGTCATCGCCTGAGTATGCTCAAGTATACAGGGTGTTAGGTAAATGGGTAGGTATATGAGCCGACATTAGCCCATGTTAACATTATGGGCATATAAATGGTATGGTGAAGTCAGAAAATTGATATCTTCATTTTAATTATTTTAATTTAAATCTGATTTTATAAAAATAATTTTGTATAAAAATTCAAAAAAATAAAATGATATCGAATTTCTGACTTCACCATACTATTTATATGCCCATGTTAACATGGGCTAGTGTCGGCTCATATACCCATTTACCTAACACCCTGTACAGGGCGTCACTCGACGTTGACGCGGATGAGGCGCAGCTTGTTGTCCTCGAGCAGCGCCACGCCGGCGTCGTTGCTGCCGCCGCAGTAGCGGTTGGACGAGAACACCGACACCAGCCGGCCTCGCAGCTGGCACTGGACACAGTGAGCTGGTTACAAACTAACTTGCCGTCCGTGAAATATGGAAGCAGCTGAGGGTTGTGGAGTATTCTAGTAGTTTTCTAAGGTGTCTGTTGTCGGTGGACGATTTCGACACATTTCGAGAAGATATACACGAGTAAGGTCGCACTTAGTCTACTAGCCTAATATACACTACATAAACGAGTAAACTGTGTGAGTGGAAATGATGATGACAATACCTAATAATTACAGCGAACCACGGAAAAGGTTATAAACTATGATAACATTTTCCGTTGTATGGTCGCGAACTGCAACTGCCTAAACGGTCCGGTTTCCACCAAAGCGCAGAGAAAATGTGCAGTTCGAATAACCAATCAGATTTCGTTATTTCGACATCACTTCCGCTCAGCTTCAGTTCGGGACTTCGGAAATGATTAGTTATTCAAACACATTCTCCGCTTTGGTGGAGGTCGGAGGTCGGGCCTGCAGGGTTACTCCGAAACGCTGTTTACGTAGTTTCGGGACTGTCTGACCTTGTCTCACTTCGGGCGAGAGGGATCAATCATTCCACCACCAAAACGACACCACCGGCTATTTGTTACATACAAAAAAAGTTACTGTCAAAAGACCAAAGTTCAAGATACAAAAGCTTTCATAATGATATCATGCTTGGTTATTTTTAATTAAAATGTTAAAGTCCTAAGAGCCTTTTGCCCGTTTTTACCATCAATCCCTAATTTTTAAGTGCCCCCCATGGTAACACATCAAGAATTTTGTTTTCATAGGGGTCACTTAAAAATTAGGGATTGATGGTGAAAACGGGCATTAATATACCGAAGTAGGGGGCACTTACCTTAGATAACTTAATGAATTGGGAGCTGTTTGTCAAAAACGCGTTTCTACATGATGTGTAAAGCCTGGTCCGTGAGCACGTAGAATTTTGTCCAATGACCCCAAGCTACCCATCCTTATCGCTCGCGCGTAATTATATTGCTGTCGCGACTGTGCGAAGCGCGCCCGCAGTGAGTGTGCGAGAGCAACATAATTACGCGCGAGTGATAAGGATGGGTAGCTTGGGATCATTGGACAAAATTCTACGTGCTCACGGACCAAGCTTTAGATGGTGATGTCACTAGGGTGGTGTCATATGGACTAAAGATTATATTATGACCGATGGTGTCGTTTTGGTGGTGTCAAGTGGTAGGAATGAGAGGGATGGCAACATTGGAAACTTCTAACCGTCTGCTCGTTTGCCTCCTGTCACATAAAAAAAAAACTTCGGATGTTTTTCGGAGTAGCCCCTGAGAGCTGAGTACGCACCATGAACCCGGACTGGTGCAGCTCGTGCGCGCGCAGCACGTGCGACAGCTGGTTGGCCAGCAGGAAGCGGTCCAGCGCGCTCTGGTCGAACACGTGGCCGGTGCCGCGCTTGGCGTTTGCCGCGAAGCCCTCGTTGGCGGCCAGCTCCAGCGCTAGCGTCGCCGTCATCTTGTTCGGCCTGCTTAGCACAGGTGAGATTGTACAGCAGTCGAATAGTTCTTGACACCCAAAGTAGTCAAAAAGTTCGCAATACTTCTTTGTTACGATTGGGATAAGGTTTTTTTTTATGCATAACAAGGCAGGTATTTGACCGCAATCGCACCTGATGTTAAGTGGGATGCAGTCTAGGATGGTACATATCTGCCCTGTAAGTGTCTATTCACTCTCGTATGATTATGTTATCAACTTTTTGGTCACTTTTGGTGTGACGAACTATTTGACGTGCTCCAAGCACCAGAGTTGGGACAAACTCATTGTATAACACTTTGTGTATTTGTTGTTGCCAGTTTTGTTATTTGGGTATAGAATTTGAATCTACCCGACTCTGAAAAAGAAGCTATGCACCAGGTTTGAGCAGTGTGGCTGTTGACGCACTCTTAGCCGCGCGATTTTGGGAAAAGTACCTACAGTAGGCGCGCGAGTTCATGTCCATCCTGAGGAATGCGGTAGTGCTGTTACCTCAGATCATAGAATTCCCTTCTATGATCTGAGTCTGTTACCTAACTAATTATGCTAATGTCCATATCGATAATGATTACCAATTAAGTAGGTCAACCTTATCTACTTATTCCATATTTTTTGCAACTTATAAGTAAATAAGTAAGTAAGTAAGGCCCCGATGGACATGAACTCGCGCGCCTACTGTATAAGTACTACGACTTTTCATTGTAGACGTAGGTTGACTTGACTTCGGCGGATTTAGTAGGGAGGACAGCCCAATCTGGCCACAAATAAAACGCATGTAGTTTACTTGACGGGGTCGTTCCACAGCAGTTCCCACGCGATGGAGCTCTGCTCCGCGGGACGCGTCAGCGGCACCGGCACCTTGTCGATGGCGGAGATCAGCGGACACACCCACGGCGGCGGGATGCCCCCGTGGCAGCAGAACACCTGTACACACGTACGGGTTTCTTCTGAGATGACGAAGACGTAAAAATATGCGCAAAGCGCAAAATGCCCTTTTTAATGACGCGGATAAGCTGAAGTGGCAGTGGGCAGGGCACATAGTACGCAGAACTGACGGTCGATGGGGCAGCAAGGTTCTGGAATGGAGGCCGCGTACCGGAAAACGCAGCGCGTGACGTCCACCCACAAGGTGGACCGACGACCTGATAAAGGTAACAGGAAGGCGCTGCATACAGGCCGCTACCAACCGTGCGATGTGGAAGTCATTGGGGGAGGCCTATGTTCCTCTCCAGGAAGGTGACTGGAAATATCCCGGTTCCTCTTAAACAATTATTTATCGGCAAATTAATTTCGTTGCGGTTAAACTTTCCCCCGGGACAAACTTGGCCTTGGTCAAGCTGTTGATCCTGGCTACACAGGAGTTGCAGCGGTGGGAATAATCCCAAATCAACGACAAAACTGAACCAGACATTTTGTGATTACAATACCCACCTTATCATCAACGACTGCCGCCAGCGGCAGCACGTCGAACACGTGGTTGATGGCGTTCCAGATCTTGGGCCCTTCGGTCTCGCCGTACTTGCTGATGCACTCGCTGGCAACAACCGAGACTCGTGTGTTTGTGATCAACATCAACATTGGAAATATCACGGCTTATTAGAGCACACAGCTAGGATAATTAAAAAGACATTCTAGGTCTCTTTAGGACATTTAGGTATCATACTCGTAAATTATCAGCATTTTTATCTCTTATTGGGTTGTCCAGCAACAATCTTTTCCTAGCGATAAAGCCGCCTAAATCTTTTATTAACCAAACCGTTTGTGTGTGATGTGCATTTTAAAGAGTATCTAACTACGAGTGACATCTAAATAGGTAATTTGATGTTTAGAAAGGTTTATAGTCCCATTGCAGTTGAAGGGGTGTTATACGCCCGTATTTACAAACGATGCTTGCTTATGTAAAGCAGAAAATCGAACGCACAGCGTTGAATAGACCTCTACTGAAATTGGTTCATGTGTCACCCTGTGCGTCCACGCGCACGGTGAGACCTCATAGCAATGTTTGTGAATACGGGTTAGTCTGTTGTGGCTCAAAACTAAATCGTATTGTGGCGCAGAGTACTTGTAAAAGGTGAACATCTTCTGTATGTCGCGCGTCTCGTGGTTGCCGCGCACCAGCAGCACGGCGGCGGGCCGCTGCAGCTTGGCGGCCAGCAGGTAGGCCACGAGCTCGGCGCCGTGCGCGCCGCGGTCCACGTAGTCGCCGAGGAACAGCACGCGCGCCGGCGCCAGCGCCGTGCCCGCCGGCCACAGCGCCGCTTCCAGCGCCAGCAGCGCGCCCAGGTTGCCGTGCAGGTCGCCTGTACCCCCCACCAGAGACGTAACCATGCGCGTATAATGGCGTATCCACACATGCCGGGCGGCACGGCCGGCAGCCAACCCGGCGGCCGTGCATCTTTTACTGGCAAGGCATTTTGAAAGCCGGCGGCAAACCCGGCGGCATGTGTTGACACGCCTTAATATAGCGGAGGCCGTGCGAACCCCAGAATGGTCTGGTGCCCCAGGACTTTGTGCTACCAATTCGAAAAAATTGTCCTAATACGCCCATTGGCCACATCTACGATACGCCACTACAAGACTATAGTGTCAGTAGCTGCGTAAGGAGGGGGCGGCGGGGGCGGTCCGCCCCGGGTGCCAAGCATCACGGGAGGGGGTGACAACAGTCGCACAGATTAGTACTCACTGGCACATCTGCATGGCAAATCTGCGGTCTATGTCATGGTACATCTGGGGGAGGCCTATATTCAGCAGTGGACGTCCTATGGCTGAAATGATGATGATGATGACTAACCGACGGCGTAGACCGGCGAGGCGAGTCGCAGCAGGCGCGGCTCGGCGGCGCACAACGGGCGCACAGCCTCCGCCAGCCGCAGCAGCAGCGCGCCCAGCGCCGCCTCCTCGCCCGCGCCCGCCCACGCCCACGCCGCCTTCGTGGGCGGCGAGCCTCCGCCCGACCCGCGCCTCTGTACAATACAGCCTCAATCTTCTAGCGACTTGGCCCAATTTAGCTTGGTCCATGGGCCAAGCAAGTCACTGGATTAAAGGCTACTTGGCCCGTGGACCAAGCTAAAAGTGGGCCAAGTCGCTGGAAGACTCCAGGGTGGTTTAACACACCGCGACGACGGCAGCGGCACCGTCGTCGCTGTGGCGCCTCTGCATTTATCACCCTCGGATTTGTATGGATCAAATCTAAGGGAAAGAGCTGCATTGCCGCTGCCAATGTGTCGTGTGAAACCGCCCTCAGTCAGCCGAGCTTGGGAATCCTCGGAGCAGGACTACCTACTCCGAAATGCTGTATACGTAGTTTCGGGTCTATCTGCTACCGGCGATCGATCATGCTGGCATCTCGCTTTGCGTGAGGGATGACAACATTCGAAAGTTACTTAAAGTTTCTATGTAAGCAGACCTGTTCTAAGTAAAATACTAATAAAATAGAGGAACTGGCAACACATACGTGCGAGTTCTTCTCGATGGCGGAGGCGAAGTAGTGCACGGCGGCCAGGGCCTCCGCCGGCGCCGAGGCGGGGCCCAGCACGTCCAGCGACGGCGCCCCGGCGCCGGCCAGCAGCCGCGCCGTCGACGCGCTCACCGCCTCCTCTGGGGGACGGCTGGCACGTTATGGCACAAGTACACTATGCAGGATTTTTTTACCTACAACGCGGAAGCTCTTGGCCTGTATCTCACCTGATGATGGTAAGTGACGATCAGGCCGAAGGTGGAAGCGAGCTTCACCCGGAAACCTCAACTACGGAGGAACTGGCTATCTTACCTCTAACTGCCGGAAACGATGGTTAACATTGTTGTTATGGCGACAGACTTAGGTAAGATGGTGGTAGCTAGCCAGGGGGACTTAGAACTAGCCCTACCACTAACCAAACCGAACAGGAAAATCTGCCCCTACTAGGAATCGAACCCGGGACCTCTGCGTCTGAAGCAGGTGGTCTTACAACTAGACTACAGAGGAGGTTGAAATTGGTCAAGACGTAATAGTGTGAACACCATCTCGGTTCCTTTCTTCTTCCCCCACCCGTGTGTCGCCCATACTTCGGTGTGCGGGCTAGCGCTCCGACTTGGACAATTTTCCAGACTGGTAGCCTACTGCGCCATTACACCCCATTATACCCTCCTAGCTCGGTGTAGCTATGTACTGCACATCATGGTAAACACTGTGGCTCCTTATGTATTTGTAATAGGTGCGATTTTGCAACAAAAATGATGATTGTGCTGTGACTGTACCTAGATTTTTTTTCGAGGTTGTGTGTTGTGTTCACCACAATATTCCAGCGGTAGTAGAGTTCGAACCTGCGTTCCTCGTGTCACACACAAGTCAGTTAGTCCGACACCTTCACCGTTCGGCTATTGTCGCTTAGACAATGTTGCGCAAATCTGTGCACTAATGTTTTGGACGAAATGCTAGATCGCACACCGAAGTACGTGCGTGCTCAGATGCCCTCAATGTGCGAGGGGGTTTGCCACGAAGATCGGCTACGTAAGCCATCTTCGGTCACACCAGCGCCGCCAAGACAGCTGGGAGTCGCTGTGGTCGCCATGGTCAAAATTGGTCGGATGGATCATCATCATTATCATGTGCAACGCAAGGAAGAAGCGAAGAAGGAAGGAGAAAGTAATCGAGATGGTGTGATCACACACTAATATGTTTCGGCCTCCCGCATTGCTATAGTCTGGTCTGCGAGCACGTAGAATTTTGTCCAATGACCCCAAGCTACCCATCCTTGTAATACGCGCGTAATTGTGTGCGCGTAAATGTTGCTGTCGCGCTCGCACACTCACTGCGGGCGCCCGTCGCACTGTCGCGACAGCAATATATTTACGCGCGCGCGAGCGATAAGGGTGGGTAGCTTGGGGTCATTGGACAAAATTCTACGTGCTCACAGACCGGGCTTTATCCAAGATGGCCATGAAAGTGAAAGAAGATGGGAAGACTCGCCATCAAACTGGTTGAGCTCGATAAGCTCGTTGGGCGGGCGCTTGCGCAGGCGCACGGTGTAGGCGGCCACGGCGTAGTCGGCGCGCGCGCGTCGGCCCGCGCTCGGCGCCCGCGCCGCGCCCGACATGTGCGAACCCTCCGCTAACGCGCACGCCGTGCCTTCAGAAGACCATTTGATCTAAACTTCTAATGCCCGTTTTCACCATTTATGTGAACCCTATGGTAACAAATAACAGGAATTTTGTTTACATAGGGGTCCCTTAAAAATTAGGGATTGATGGTGAAAACGGGCCTAAAGCTTCGGACGAACCTACCCGTGCAGCTCCCGTCGGCGAAAGCGATGGTGGTCACAGCGTGTGCATAGATCGCCGCGACCAATGACAGGACGCGTTGATGTGAACTCACCCGCTACAAATTCATACAAATTCGCCATCGCAATCGCGCACGCAGGTTGCACGCGTTGGTTTGGCTGAACCTTTACTCGTTTTACTCGTAGACAAATTCTACTTTTGATTTTCTTTTATGAATAAAGTTATAATAAATAAAACATAAATAAACTGTCTGTAAATAAACTGTCTGTGTATTGTTTGACTTACTTTGCGGAGGCGGTATTTTTGAAGTGGATTGAGCATTTCGCATGCTGAGTTCACGATCTCTTTCCCTGCAATGATTTTTAATTATCATGATAAAGGCTATCAGTAGGTACAGGCCTATTGCATCTTCCAATCTCAACGGATCTCCGTTAACGCATGATTTGCTATCGTTTTAGCGCTCACCAGTTAGCGCCACTGTAGAGTAAGGTCCTGTCACTTGCTAGTAGCGAAGACAGTGGCACCAACTGGTGAGCGCGAAAGTGGTAGGAGGACAATCGCAATTGCACTCATCAAGATGGCGCCACTGTAGAGTAAGGTCCTGTCAATCGCCAGGGGTGCCAACTATTAAGTATAAAAACGATAGCCCTCATTGGCGCGCTCACATACAAACCGCACTCGGTGCGTTTCTATGAAGATGACCTACTCATTTGTAAGTATTTACTCTGGCCCAACGTACTGCAGGTCGACGAGGTAGCCCGCGATGCTCTTGGGCGCACGCAGCAGCGAGCTGGTCCCGCGCAGGCGCAGCTCGCCCACGCCGCGCAGGAACTCCGCCAGCGGCAGCTGCGAGTTCGGCTGGATGCCCAGCTGCCTGCGGAGACTTGCGGCTTTATTGAGTCAGCTATGTACCTAGATTATTTTGAACATGGGCATGGAACGAACACAGACGAACGGGTTAATATTCCCAGTCGCCCTCCTCGGCATCGCCCCCACTGGGGGTAACTGATGTCCCAGTTGCCCCCGGTGCCTCCTTTGAAGGGGCAACTAGGAGTATAATATTAAATTTTGAAATGTCCCAGTCCCCCACTTGAGACGCCGTAAAGTATAAGTTATAACTAGAAAGAACATGGTTCGGACAGGGTCTCACTATGACCTGCTATGAAGATTCATAATATTCTATCATCTTGAATTCTGCATTTATTAGAAATATAATTGTATTGCGCACCTCCAATAGGAGCGAATGTTAGTGACTTAATAACTAAATGACTTAAAAAATAAAATATTGTAATGACCATGGCAATAAACCTCCCGGTTGGATCAAAAACCCTCGTGGTAAGCTAATTAAGATAGCGGATAACTATAACCCTCGTGGTAAGCTAAATATGCTTGCTGAAATACGTTGCAAATAAACTTATTTGATTTGATTTGATTTGTTGATGAATTGGTTCGAATCCGTGTTCCTCGGATCTCGATTCGGCCAGTCCGACACCGACACTGTTGGGGCTATTGTAGCCTGTATAACCAATGTCCAGTATCCACACTCGCACACTCACTACGGGCGCCCGTCGCACAGTCGCGACAGCAAATAATTACGCGTGAGCGATAAGGATAGGTAGCTTGGGGTCATTGGACAAAATTTTACGTGCTCACAGACCAGGCTTTAGTCCTGGGGCAGTACCTCAGGCAGACGTCGGCATCGCGAGCCACGCTGAGCGCGTCGACGGGCAGCTGGCGGGCGGCGCGGGCGGCGGCCACCAGCTCCTTGAACTCCACGTACTCCAGCTTCAGGTCGCGGTTGCTGTCGAAGTACCTGTGGTATGAGGTCCTTCCTGATGATAGTCTGCCATTTGATTATGAGCTTGTGCTTGCTTATGTGGCAGGTAGGATTTATCAAAGGCAGACTTTACTAAGTTATTTCTCGTATCGGTTGCTGTCGAAGACCTGTGGTATATGTGAGGTCCTTCGTGATAGTAGGTAACTTCGAGCGCTCTAAATATTTTGCCTTTTGATTACGATAAATTAGATCAGTACACTTGCTTCCTAAATCCCGTGGAACTAATAGGCATTTATCAATTCAGGATGATTTCCTCCTGTCTTTCCCAAAGCTGCAACTCCTATGTAGGCAGGAGAATCTACATTTTGACCGCCAAATAAACCCAACCAGTACCTAAACGCCAAGTTTGTCCCGAAGGAAAGTCCATCAACAACCATAATTAATCAGAAAAATATCTGCTCTGAACTCCTAGCTAACATTCAATTTAATGCTCCAAAAAGAATTCTGCGCAATAATAATCCACTATACATCCCCTAGGTAGACTCATAACTACAGGCAAAATAGTTTTCTCTGGCGGGCGAGTAGGAACTTGAACGAATTTGTCAAGGAGACTAACATCGACATATTTTGTACTAGCGTTGCTGTGGCGAGGAGAAAGCTAGGCGACCGTTTTTTTAAGGACAGCTAAATTGTTTTTCTGTTTGGCAATGTTTTCCAATACTTTTTATTTAGGTATACATAGTATATTATAGTAGTGTAGTACGTAGTATGTAGTAACCCTGGTGCAAAGGCTCACTAAATTATTTAAATTGTTTTTACCTGTGGGAACCTATAAGTGGTTTACTCGTTGCCTATCTTATGTTATTATTATTACACACTGTAAAACCCTGGTTTTCCTAAATAAATAAATAAAAAAAAATATAAGAATTAAGAGGAGTTCGAAGTTAAGAGGTATACCAAAATGACCAAGGATAGATAGATATTGAGGAAATCAGCCGTGGGCTTAACACGGTAAGCACTTGCCTGAAGATGTACCGGCAGCGGATCTCGGCGGGGACGCCGCTGTGTTGCGTGGCGGGCTCCAACGCCGCCATCCACAGCACCAGCTCCACGAACGACAGGCCCCCGCGCCCGGTCACGTCTGCCGCCCTACGTAACCCAAACACTTTGGCCAAATGGCAATGCCAGTTTTGTATGGAAAGTGGCGTCTTTTTTTTTTCGCGCTGCCATCGACCAAACCTTGTTTTTTTGATTACAAAATAGTGTAATAAACCAAACTTACTACGACATGTATACCTCTAAACTCAGTCTGAACTGAGTTACGAGCGTTAGAAGTTTGATGATTTACATACTAGATTTGCTTTTTGCGAGTAAGTTTTGTAAGAAATTGCAACAAAATAGTGACATTGTATGTGTAAACAAACAGTACCAACCATTAAAGGCTCCAGACATCAGTATGGAGCAGAATCAGCGCAATAAAAAAATAGCGCAATATTTTGTTGCAATTTCTTACAAAACTTGCGCGCAAAAAGCAAATCTAGTATTGTAAATCATCAAACTTCTAACGCTCGTAACTCAGTTCAGACTGAGTTTAGAGGTATACATGTCATAGTAAGTTTGGTTTATTACACTATTTTGTAATCAAAAATCAAAGTTTGGTCGATGGCCGCGCGAAAAAAAAAAGACGCCACCTTCCATACAAAATCTGGCATTGCCATTTGCTTCAGCTTGCAAAATTTGCAAGATTTGACCTGCTACACAGATTTTATATATAGAATTCAGATGGCAGAACTAGCGGCCGATGGGGCAGCAAGGTTCTGGAGTGGAGGCCGCGAACCGGAAAATGCAGCGTGGGACGTCCACCCACAAGGTGGACCGACGACCGCTACCAACCGGGTAACATGGAAAGCATTGGGGGAGGCCTATGTTCAGCAGTGGACGTCCTATGGCTGAGATGATGAGATGGCATCAATACCGGTGGGTCCAGACAGTGGCACTTTTTGATTGAATCGTTTACGGAGCAATGTAACTCCATACAAAAAACAACCTTTCAACCGTCTTTCAATCACGTTTTGCCTCTTGTCTTGCTTAAGGGGGCTGGTCAGGATCTCCATTTATACAAAAGTATTTTACCACTAATTTAAGCTCAACTGTCCGATTGACGGAAATGCAAACTAACGTCTGTGAAATTACCTAAGAAGTGGAAAGTTTTAGCCAAAGTACTACTAAGTGTAATACAGACATTACTCGTATGAGTTGTAGAAGTAAACTAGTACCCGACATAAAACTAATTTAGCTATAAGTAGACCTAAGTATTAGCACCTTAAATACCATCCTGAAAATATAACTTGCCTGAAGAGACTAGGGCATTGTGCTCGCTGCCATCCGAGGTCCAGCATGAACTGGGTGAAGACATACGGGCTCATGTACAGGGCAGGGTATACCATCACCAGAAACTCTTGGTACATGCGTATTTGGTCTACAAAACAAATATGGATTAGACTGCTATACCGGCGGCACCAAAAAACTAAACCGATGGGTATCTACTGGTGCTACTGAGAGACGAGATGATGAAATGTTTACGAGAGAAAGACAAATATAGCTAATAGATAATTTACGAGCTGAAAACCTTCTTTAGTATAGTTAGCGGCCTGCAACAGCTGGCAGTTGGGGGAAGAGCCTGTGGCTGCCCCAGCGCCGTCGATGCCAGTGATCACGTTCTCCTCGCAAATCTCTATTAGCATGCCACTTTCCATCTCCTATATTTCCAGAAAAATAATGCTTACATACAATGCTTAAAAAAATGTTCATTCAGTTCTAATTCAGAAAAATATTTCCAATAAAGATAACTAGTAGGACCTAGACCTACAGAATAGGCAACACTAACAACTGTTTCTGCCTCCTTAGGTTGATCGCCCATGGCCATTTGCGCGAAAACAGCCACCTCTGGACTCCTCAGCGTTGAATGGGCCCGCTGTCGCTCCAGTTCCACCGTGTTGAACCATTGCAAACGGTTGCGTAGCCCCTGCCAAAACCGTCACCAGGAAGTGTCATAAATGAAAATCTTTTTGCAGGCACCCAGAATATTAAGATTTAAAAAATATACGTTAAAGTACCTTTATCTTAGTGCGTTTCTTGGTGTCAGACTTAACTGCAACTTTGAAAATGGCGTGGTAGATGCACTGCTGCGGATGGTTTGGCATCCAAATCTTGTACACGCGGAGCGGCAGGCAATGAGTCGTTGCGTCCATTCCGAACAGCTACAAATTCGTTATTAAAACATAACCCTCTTTTGGCGCAGTCGGGTAATAACTAAACTAATTCAAAAAAAATATTTGTGTCACACAACTCGTGGGGCCTATAAAAATGGTGATGATTCAAAGCGAATCGAACGAATCATACTGGACTGTAGATGTAGGTAGGTAGAAGATATTATTTCTAAAATAAATTGATATCTATGAATATTCTACCTCAAAATTTATTTTGTGGGCGGTCATCTTCCAGCAGTTCTTTTCTGCCTTGCTGCAAGGCAGCCAGAACTCGCCACTTGCCTCTTTGGTCAACAGGAACGAGCGCTCTGAAGGACAGTGCACAAGCAAGGAAACCACGTCGCAAATGTCTTTGTAGTTCTTGAACATCATTGATTTTGATAAGTAGATGTGAAGCTAGAAATTAAAGGTAATTTGAAGGTAGTTACTGTTTAAAAATATTTTATTGGGATGTAGGTTATTAACTGAATGATGTTTACAAATAAAATTTGAAACTGTCATAATCAGTAGATACAGATGATAAACCGCAAAAAGCCCTATCTAATGAAAATAGACAAAGAGAAGAAAAAGAAATAATCCGATGATCTTCACAGATATGGATGATCTTCGATTTCCGATACAATCAACAACGATTATTTTAGATAGCGCCATCTATCCCAAGCTGAGCAATGTAATTTGTATTTACCTAACAAAAAATGTTATCCTTTTAAAACGACGCACGTTTGTGTTTTCATCGAAAAACAGAACCTACAAAACCTACCCCATTAATACCCAAAAGTTCCCACCACAGTTCCCACAACAAATTACCTGAAATAAAAAACAGAACATGCATGGGTACAAAATAGATGGCGCTCACCTCGAAAATCTCTAATAGATTTATAGAATATTTTTTAAACTTACGATTCATCATTTTAAAGGTATGCTTTAAAAATAGCTCTGCACTGGAAATGTATAGATGACCCACGCTGAACTGTCCCGCCAAACTCAATGACAGGGGGGCGCTACCATCGTTCAACTATATGGTTTCCAACATGTCAAAAATCTGAACCAGCGATCCGGTATTGACGGTGGCGCCCCACTGTCAATGTCATCGACAGGACAGTCCAGTATTTTGGAACTATACCACAGTATTTTCATTCATATTTTCAAGTATTGATCAATACGTCTATAGCACTATAGCTATAGTTGTTTCACAATGGTGACGTAGCGATCACGCCACCTTTTCAGACGGGTTGCCGCCATCCCATTGGTTGAGCGGGTGCCTTCCCCCACTCCACCGAGCCACATTCAACATGTTTAGGGATGTCTGATAACAATCGAATGGTAATCGAAATCCGAATCGTTACAACTTTTTTTTATAAAAAAAATATGAAATATGGTAATAATAAACTTAAAATAAATCATAAATAAAATCATACACAGTTTAAAAAAAAATTAAGACTCTTCTGACCACACTTAGCTAGCCTAGACCTACTTTATTTATTTATGTTACAGAAAAGTTAATAAGGTAGTAGTAATTAAGGGCGCTTTCTAAAAATCTTTTAACGCTTTTAAACGTCCGGCACGAAACGTCTAAAATTTAAAACGCCCTAAGGTAAGCAAGTGTAGCATATTAAGAAAAATAAAGATTGATTTAATTATCGAGCAACATAAGGTTTATGATGTAAAAAAATGATTCAATTGCCAAATAAACGTATGTATATATCCATAAAAATTCGCGTATAAAATTCTATTAATAATTATAAATAATTAAATAAATAAATAAATTAATTATTTATCCAGGAACCAAAAATGTATGGTGTAAAAAAATGAGTCGATTGTCAAATCGATTTACACAAACACAGCTGTCATCTGTCAGTTTACAGGGAAACAAATCAGAACAACACTAAAGTTAAAGTTCGGGTTTGTGCGTGACGTTACGGCTTTAGTTAGTGTTTACCTCTAGTTTATTTGAAAATTTTGTGTTAATTTACAAGTGTGATATTCGCAGTGGACGCCAATATAGACAGTAAGTAATATTACCTAAAGTTATATACCATTCTTATTTAATATGTATCATGAAAAGTCCTAATTCGTATGGCACTTTCTATAACCTCCAAAAGAAATCTTTTTGTAATTCTTCTTTTTAATTTTATTGAATTATGTCGTGATATTTCATGATAAAGATACAAAACGTTGGAGCTATGTAAGCGATTGATAATTAACTCATCAAACTACTCGGAATCTTATTAGAATCGTGTCTGTCAGTGAGTGGCAAAACATAGCCGCGCATGTTCATAAAAAAGCATTTTTATAACAGAAATTTATGATTTTTAGTTATGTAAAGTGATTTGTATAATTATAACTTAAACACTAAATGTATCAGGTGAACTATTTGGTAGAAATTGATGTGATTGAAAGGAACAACCTTATTATGATGTATTTCTCTTTGTTATTTTACTGATAAGACTCACCTGATTGATGTTTTTAGTCTGGTTTTATCAACAATGTTGACCTTCGTTTCTTAATTTTAAAAACATTGATATTTAAATATTTTATTTGGAGATTTCTTTTAAAGCTAATGCGAAGAAACTTTACGTTACTTCATGTTTTATTGTTCATGCCATATTAAAAAATAAGCTGAGCGGACTACACTCATCTATCTTAACACGTTGGACGCCACGCGGCTCACCGGTGAGCCTCGAATAATACAATTTCCATTGTGTCTAGCATCTCGGCGTTCAATGTGTTAATGACTGCAGGGATTTATCTAATATTAATAATTTAATAGTGATATCAACTGACATGTATAATATCTATATAATCTATAATATCTATATATCTATATAATCTAAATAAATTGAAACAACAGCTCTTTAAGCTTTTAAAATATAAAATGAAGGTATCAAAATGTGGGAAATTATAGTAAGTTTAATACAAGCCCATTTCTATACCTCATAAAACTAAAGGTCCTTAGAATCATTATTACTTTACTTTGGCAATAAAAAACTAATTACTTATGTGGTGGGTTATTGAGGCTGATTGCTATTGTTATCATCCTAAGGTTAATTAACTAGATAAATTAATTCAATAACACCATTATTATAACCCTAAATTAAGTAATCCCTACCAAATTATTGTGCAAAACCCATAGTATAAATCAGAACATTTGCCCTTAGTTGGATTGAAACTCCAGCTGTTGATGTCATTTGTATATTTACATAGTTCACAGGGTGTAATTAGTAATTACAATAAAATAGGTAGGTATTTATGACTATGATAATATGGTAATGAGGGCAGCAGCAGTGGGTAGTTTTACATTTCATTTGCTAGTGATGAATATGAAGGGAAAGTGAACACCTGGATTACCATATTGACTTTTGTGGCATTACTTACTTCTTTCTAACTACTTCTCTGTAAGACAAAAAATAAAGAGGCATGGCAGAGCCTTTTTCACAACAACCTTTTTATACATATTTCTTAACACCTATTGTTAATATTGTTGATTACAAATACAATTTTATAATTCAAATTAAATAATTTAATTAGAATTATAAAATTATTATTTATCAACAACTTTTACTAAGGATAACAATATTTTATGTATTCTATTCTATAAATGATTAGGATTTATTTTACTGACTCTTGGTTGGCCAATAACTTTATAACACTTGTAGTTACAATAAGTAAGTAGCTCCTGATGGCATTAGAATTGTAAGGGAATGTTTGTTTGTTTTCATTCAAAAAGTTGAAATTGTTTACCGTATTTTACAATCATTCAGTTTTTGTGCTGATTCAACGTCAGTTTAACTTTACATTAACGTATTAATGGCATTAGTGTAATAGTTAAGATTGGGTCGTGGCTCGGGCTTGCGTAACGTGGTATTTGATCTGCGAGGGGTCTTGATTGGGCCGGGAAGTGCAAAGTACGCGGCCTTGTCTCCGCCGGCTTTAGCACACTTCCTATTCGCGGCGTACAGTCGCCACCATAAGTAGATGTTTTGTTCGACTTTTTGGTCATCTTAAATATCTTAATTATTCCCGAGTGCATAAGAGACATCTTATTCATCCTAACAGCTATAAGAGTGTACATACTTTTTATTCCCTATGAAAATGGCCTATAACCATCATATCATCATCATCATAACCTACCGCCGGGGGACGGCAGGTTATGAGGGGCTCGAAACCACTGAAAACCTGGGGTGTTCCCTCTGCCGCATAGTGGTCGGCGCCTTGGGTACTAGAGAAACGACCAAGGCGCCTTCCGCGGATGTCCCACCCTACACGGCGGGACCCAACACGCCCCCACTTAATCGGGGGCCGACAAGATTAGCCGGGACCACGAGGCCAATCCCGTCTGACGGTGGTGGTAGCCTGTGCAATGCAGGAGAAGGCGCCCCCGCGTCTCCAGCCTGCTGGCCACCACCAAGGGGAGGAAGAAGCGAACGGTACATGATACAACCGCCTTCTAACTCCCCTAAAGTGTACATACTTACACTGATACAGACTACGCTACGTCTAGTTACTTTGTTCGTATCGTATGGTTAGTCATTTTCACAATAGCTTACCGAACTGTCGACAATGTTACATGTATTTCAGGTGTTGACTTGACACAGATCTTACAAGATTGTTAAATATTATTCACACGCATGTCTTTTTGTCGATTTTTTAAAACTTGTTTTTGAATAAATTTGTCTGGAAGTGTACGACTTTATCACTTCGCCAGAAAAAATATTACTTAATTAATAGCTGCAGTTTTAATTTGTTCAACTTTTTACCAAAAAAACTACACGTTCTTACGGTATAGTTACGACTATAGCATATCAAACGAAAACGAAACATTGGCATCTTAATTATGTATTTAGTTGTAATAGGTGTTTTTTTTGGATCAAAATTATACATATAGTTTTATGCGCTGTTGTTGACTGTACATGTATTTAATCACAAAAACTCCGTCAAATAAATCTTTCGTTTCTTCTATATTCGTATCTACGACCACTGACTTCGTTGTTAGAAACGCAAACCACTGAACCTTGTATAAATTGGAGTCTTTTTTCACCCCATGTACTGTTATGTGAATACATAAATAAGTTGTCATAATATCATCTCAAAATAACATGATTAATATTATGACAAGTGGTCGAAGTCCAAGTTCAACTCTCAGTTAGTTTAGTCATTGTGCTATTCATGTATAATTGACACATAAAAGTAATAAATAACGAACTTGTTTTACTTTCAATTAAACGTCTGAGTCATTTACCTAAATAATGCTAGTTAACTGTGGTGATGTCTATAGGTAAATTCCTAATTTGCATGTTATAGATGACCCACGCTGAACTGTCCCACCAAACTCAATGACAGGGGGGCGCTACTATCGTTCAACTATATGGTTTGCAACATGGCAAAAATCTGAACCAGCGATTCGGTATTGACGGTGGAGTCCCACTGTCAATGTCATCGACAGGACAGTCCAGTATTTTGGAACTATAAAGTATTGGGAACTAAAAATACAACAGTAACCTACTATTCGCCCAAAGACAAAATATTTTTCTAATAAGTGCGACCACGACGCAAGTCTAAAGACATAGACAAACAATAGAACAATTAACAGCCGACTGATGGAAGCCTCGTTTGTAAACACCTGAAATTCTTTGTTACATATTATTTTTTTTTATGCTTTGCGTGATTTTTGGACATCGAATGTCGTGTACGACTGTACGAGTGATTTTCGTTTATTATTTCTATGATTTTTCTGGTTGAGTTCCTAATCATTACAAAAAACATAAAAATTTAGGAAGTCTTGGATCATTGGATTGGATTTGGATTATTTAATTTCAATTCAAAAACGTTTTTTTTCTGCGATTGAGTTGTCACTAATCTGAACTGCTTTCGGTAAATATAAAGACCTATTTATTTATTTATGATAATTCGCCTAAACTTCTAAGCTCAAGTCTCCTAACTCCTAGAAGAATTGAATAATGAAATTAACGCCACCTTTAAGTAAGCAAGGTGTTTGACAAAATCACCTATTGACATAAATATAAACTATAAGCAACAACGCCATGTAAAGACCACAATCCACGGCGACCTTGCTCCGAGCTGCGAGCAACCAGGTCACGGTAGTACGGTGCCAGGCTAATAAATAGATAATTTTTCCACTCGCGTCGATTACCGATCTAACGCTTATTTATTCCTTCCATAATGATTTTTTTTAATGATTAATCCATAAAAAAACACGTTAATTTTAAAAGTGGCGTATGGGGTAAGTTGATAAACCCAAATATTTCAGGGCAACAGTAGCCCAAAAGTGCATCGGAGCGGACTGCCTCAGAGGCTCCGAGGACTAATGAAGATTGAGTTAGCTCTGAGTCAGAGGCCAGAGCTAACTCAATCTTCATTCATCATCATCATCATCTCAGCCATAGGTAGGGCGTCCACTGCTGAACATAGGCCTCCCCCAATGCTTTCCATGTTGCCCGGTTGGTAGCGGTGTGGTAGGGTAGCGACCTGTTCATCTTCATTGGTTGGATTTTATTGGCGATCCCACTACAAAGATCGAAGCTGCCGGTGTTTGAAATAACACTGTTGCAAATCAGTCTATCATTTGTGGCACGGATTAGGTTCTCTCTTTTTAACCTGTAGATCTGGTCAGGTAAACACCAAGCTGTAATTTGTCCCTGTCCAGCGTTGGCGCTTATTATAATAATAATGTAATATTGAAAAGCTGACCCCATCGTTGAACCGCGTGCACCTCGCACGCACCTCGTGGCATGTCAAGATTGTCGCACAGATCAGGATTTATTCCCGGGCGGACTTCGGACCCCGTATGAGCGCGGCTATTATCCCATTGGGAGTCGTCTGCGGACTCCGCTTCCGCTACTACCGCCCGTTTTGATGCGACCAGCTCGCTTGGTGAGACTTTTCTATCCAATTATATTTTTAGCCTGCAAATCTGCAATGCCTCAAGTCCTTTTTGATTTGGCTATGTTGTACCAACTTTTTTAAAAGAGTCAAGTTCATGCCGCCTTTTTATTATTCTAGTGCTGTCTGTTGAAGCACACTGTTTATTTCAACGTCTACTTACATTTTATGATGACACGTTCTTGTTATATTTCATCAGGGTTAGGATATAGATCTACGTTTCATTAACCGCTATTTGTGCTGACTTTCTAGAGATATTCAATGTTATCTAAACCAAATCTGTTTCTTTTAGCTTCAATTTTAGTATTATCCAAAAATCTCAGTAAAATCTTGGTGATCGTAGCGTCGGTCATTTCGCTCACGTTTGCGATTGTCTTTGAGTGTAGGTGTCTGACGGCATCTACAAATAACGTCGACTCTCTGGGCGATTGCCGACGGGATATATCTCTTATTACCTAGTTGTTAGAGATCAGAACCCGTCTATTTTGGGAGTAGGATGCTGCGATTGTCTTACAGGAATTATTCTATCACGGTTCTGTACTGCAAATTGCTCTAATTGAACTCATTACTTGGTATAATCTGTGACAGATGTGCTAAACTCAGAGATATTCACGTGAGTGTTTCCATAAAGAGGCAAATAGTAGTGGGACTGTGGCAGGCAACGTTAGTTGTGACGTTAGTTTGATGGTAAAGATTTGACAAGTACCTACTGAGACGAAACGCCTACACCGTTATCTTGAATATGAATGAGAATTTGAAGTATGAAACTCCAATATCTATTCACAGTTATTGCTTCCTCAGAACTTGACGGATTAAGGAAATCAGTAATACGACAGGTCCTCGTGATGATTTTGCCTGAGAAAACTGAATTTTCTCTGAACTGAAGCTTGAACAGATCTATCTGAATTTTATTTTATGATAATAATGCTGTAAAGCTTTTTTTGTACACCGGCACTTCATTTATAATATTACTCTCTCGACATTAGCAATTACCCGCAGACTCCGTAGCGCAGTTTCACCAATCACTTCAATGTGAAAGTATAATAATGCAACCATAGCATGACTTTTAGCTATCGGGCAAATAGCTGTTCATTGATTCAGAGAGTCATCGATGAATCAGAACTTATTTTGTGTAATGCGATTGTTTTGTGGCATACTAATTTGTTAGTAAACATCAGTCGACCCTTGTCCTCAGAATTGACAGTTATGTCGGCCAGAATCGGCGGAAAAATGCTTGGCTAACGGTTTATTTTCGCTGACCCAGTGACGTGGTAACCCTAGACTGGAAGGAGACACGGTCTCACACAGGAGCGCAAACGTGTTCCTCCGATCTGAATCCGGCGTTCGCACGTCACCGCGCGGCCAGCGCAGCCCCGGCGGCAGTTTCGGAACGCGCGCCACGCAAGGCCCACGTCTCACGCCGGCCACGTGCGTTCCATCGCGACATAAATAAAACATATTTTTCTACTTCAACTGTAAAGTGGCTGTGATAGTCTTTAGTGATATTTTACAAAGTTCCTTCTTATACATTTACCTACCTGTTTTACACGGTGAGTTGCTGTTCCGGTCCCATGACCACGTAAGGCTGTCAGCCGGACAGTTAAGTAAATTATCAAGTGACGTGAATTCAAGTGTAATTTGCTTGGAAACCCGGCCGTTTTTACTGTCTAAATAAAAAAATAACTTGCAGACACGCATTTGCAGTTACATTTTATACATCTTTGCTTTGCAATGATATCACGTTATGCTATGCTGTTGCAAACAGATATATTCGTAGATAATTTCCAGTTCAATTGTTATGAAAATTTCAGAAATGAAAAGCTATGCCACAAGTTATGACTCATTCATGCGCTTTAATTTATAATAGCATGAATTTAATTTCCATTATTTCGATTTCAACAACTACCCACAAAATTAAATTAAAAGTTCTTTAATTTTAATTGAATTATCGATTAAACAAATTAAATTAATGCACCTAAGTATTTAGATGTTCATTCATTTTACTTAGGTCTTCATGAAATTACAAATTCCTATACCAATAGAATTTGCGAATCTTGCAAATAAGGTATAGGTATTACTTAACTGAACTTTCTGTGGTTCCTAGTGAATTAATGTAAAGTTCAGTAAAAGTTTCAGTTGATTTTATCATGTTTATTTACATTAACCACATTTATGTGGTAAAAGTGCTCTTCAAAAGCCTACTTACAGTATTTTCTAATACAGCCGACCAACGTTAGAAACTCAAATATGTAAATCGTTTATTTATAAAAATACTGTAAGTAGGCTTTTGAAGAGCACTTTTACGACTACGACAACCGTAGCGTACCTACCTACTTAATATGTTCGCGTTTAGTTATGAAGAAGGTTAGGCAAAATTTCCTGTTATTTACATAGACTACGGTTAAATGAATGTCGCCGCTTGGCAGCAGTTATTTAATGTGTTATCTAGAAGACTAAGTGATGTCGGTGTTAATTAACACTATCACAAGTTATCTGCCGGCACTGGACGGGCCAGGGGTCATCTCGACGCGCAAACATCGCCTTCTGAACCTGGACGGTGCCTTGTTCTGCACGTCATATCCTACGCGTTTCAGCTGATAACCCTTGATATTAATTTTGAAAGAGCACAAACGAATGCATTGTTATTCTTATCGTCAATTGAACAATGCTCATTGGCATTTATATTGTGTGTTACTAGCATATTTGGTGTTGATGATTTGGATTAATGATATTCAAGATTCTCTAATCACTAATGGTTGTTTAGTCTCAGTTTTATCAGTTGAAAATAGTCATCGTTATCTGTTTTCAGCTGACACTGTCGGCAAAACAAGGTTATCTCATTAACCTGTCGTTAAGCCGGCGTTTGATTGGCATCGATACTCCCACACTATTAATTCATAATAAACCCATCATCTTATTCCAAGTGCATCCCAGCAGGTCGACGCCATAGCAAATTGATAAGCCAGCAATATTTTCTTCGGAAATTGTAGCCTTTTATTTATTCGCTGCATTATCCTGCACCAGTTTACAAGACTCAAGAGATCTTGGTTATTATTTACAATAATAAATTCTGCTTCGAGAAAGTTTTTGAGCCGTCATCCTCTTAACAAAACAGTCAACAGTAACAATTTCCGGCCACCTTTTGCTTTTTGATCAATACTAATTTTCCCTATGAGGCTTGTTTTCCTCTTTCTTAGAAGGATCTAAGTCGACCTTTGGAGTCGCTCAGGCGTCGACATAACAAGGTTATCTGGAGCTAGCAACTGCCCGGATGACCCTCGATAACCCCCTTCGATTGTCCTCGTGATGACCAAAGTTCGATGGATATATAGTAAATGGAACACATTGTAATTGGGTGCTGATGAGCTGTCATTCACCACCGATTTATCTGACAGCTATGTTCATCTACTGCCAGTCACCCGTATCATTCGCCACATCTTGCAGCTCAGCATCATCAATTTCCAAGCCGAGTCCTTGCAATATTTACTTCTGATATTGAAGAATCACTTCGAACGAACTATAAAAACAAAGCCGTATTATGTTGTACACATGCCATTGTTCATCCGGTGTTCAAATAACAAATTGTAAATACATGTTTATCTTGTTGTTGGTGGTGTCGAACTTTAGTTGTACAACATGTCAAAGAGATAATCAAGATTTTATTTTAAACTAAGTGAAACATGACGTTTTGTTCCAACAATAACAAAAGAGGATATTGGATTTATGATTCTGCGGGTGCATTATTGGGCGGAAAGGAAGTGAAGTAGTTTCAATAAGGGCATGGCATGTGCTCACGAACCGTTTGATTCGGCCGGCCTTGGCTAATTGATAGGGCAAGGACGAGCCGGTTTGTTTGCCAACAAAATCTTCATTTTGCATGATAAAGTTGGATTTCTTTTTAATTCCTCAACGGAAAATCGAATGTGGGTAATAGGACAGGTAAAATATTACAATATTCATCTAATGTGAATCTGAAATAGTGTCGCTTGCTCTGAAATAGTTAATTTACGAGGGAATTATTATATGTACTGTGGCTAAACCTAATTAAAACAAAGATATGAGACGTAAGTGGGTAGTGCATTTACATTGGCCAATGGCTTAGTTGGGATGTCTTTGTATAGGAAATGACTCATGTGCACATGTGTTAGGTCGTTGACACGGAAGTCGTGTTTTTTGAAACAATACTTCTTGTGTCGCAGACGTACAATTTTGTTAAGTTCAAGGAGACTGAATCTTAGATTTCATGAAAGTATTCTGGACTATTGACAACTTGCGATGCGGTTCACTATGGGTTTAGCATAAATCGCGTTAGCGCTCACTTGTTTGTTGCGGCAACAAAGAATCTCACCAGCGTTTAATGTCTTACAAACTATCAACAACCTACGGTTGATATATCGAGACAACGTTCCCTGTGTTTCACGTACGATCTACGGAATAATAATATTGGTACTATTTTTTTGCCACATCTGGAATTTCCCCGCCAAGAATTAATTGCTTGAAAGCACGGCATCACATTGACAATTGATACCTAAAGTTTTAAATTGCCAAGCCTGAAGCAGGCAGCTTCAATATTAGTACAGATCTCTTCCTCCAACCCATTTGATAAGGTAAACGTAGGGAATTAGGAAAAAGTTTCAATTTCCTAATGCGTCTTTCAACAACTTCTTTTCATATTGGAAATTCTGGTTTCCTTTATAAATAAACTTTTTTTTCCGTGATTTGTTGCGTCTTTTTTGTTGCGTCCATTATTTCGGACAAAAGAAGTGGCTAAAGGATCGCGTGCGCAACTCCAAAGTCCGTGTTGTGGTCTGTGGTGCGGCGCGCGCGTGGCGTCATCTCCGCATTGGGTCGCCGGCAATTGGTCCGGTGGACTTCGCCCCACATTGTGCTCCTGCTGATAAAGCTTGCTCTACATTTGGCGGCTTAGTTATAAGTCACTCACGGCCTCACAACAATCAGTCAAGTAGGTGCAGCTGAGATTATCAGCAGCGCATCTTGTGTGCGGACTAAGATACATAGGTACATTTTCTTTATTTGTTTGTTTCAACTTAATGTAGTCCACTGCTGGATAAAAGCCTCTCCTATGAATTTTCACAGCGACTGGTCCTGCGCTGTCAGCATCCAGGTGCCTCCTGCAACCTTCACCAGATCGTCAGTCCACCAATAGGTGGCCTGCTTGCACTAAATTGTATTTATTTAATTAATGATATTAGTTAATTAATGATAATGATATTCTGTAGACAGACACCTAACATTTTGTAGCTAAGAAAAAAAAATACAAGATACGTATTAATGTCAGTCAGAATCAGAAAATAATTGTTTAATGTCAATCCATTTGATTTTCTTGTCAGTTTACTGCTATTTCTAATTTAATTTAATTTCTGCGACGGTAAAATTATTTGAAACTAGCTTTCCGCCCGCGGCTTCGCCCGCGTGTAATTTTGTCTGTCGCAGAAAAACTTTATTGAGCGCGTCCCTGTTACAAAAACCGGGATAAAAACTATCCTATGTCCTTTCCCGGGACTTAAACTATCTCTATGCCAAATTTCATCAAAATCGGTTCAGTGGTTTAGGCGTGAAAGCAAGACAGACAGAGTTACTTTCGCATTTATAATATTAGTATAGAAGTATATGTAGATAGTATAGATGTGTAATTTATTTGGTTTTATTTTCTCTATCGTGTGGTTATACAATCATGAGGTCTCATGCTATATTTAGCCTTCCACTAAAGTTGCTATAGTGCCTACGCGCCTTTACAGCAGGCTTTAATTGAATCACGTGTATTTTGATTCAGTCGCACGATGCGCACGCGCCGACTCGCGCATTGTCAGACTCGTGTTCCTTTAACAGTGTCCTTTTGACCAGTTGCTTTCGGAAAATATCTGCTACTTTCACATTATACTTCGGAAAAAATCTGCTACAGGAAATGGCGTAAGTGTCTTAAGAAGATTAATGATTCCTTGATTGGTGGATAATTTATGAGATTTTTGTGTATTTTACTAATAACAATTGCGATGCCACGAACAATTTTATTTGAATATTTCTAGCGTATTAATATTACATTTCTGTTCCGTATATGAGCCACTTTACTTGATGGAATTGCACCCTTCATTTTTTTATAATGAAAGTTGCGTAGGCCATTAGCCCATTATTTGATCGAACGCGCTTTGTTTGAATACTTTTAAAATTATAATTCAGACCATCGATGATCAGACATCCATCCGAACACAAACACGGTCCACTTTGTAAATACAAAAAAGAATTCAAGGTGACCTAGTTTGTTTTGTATTTGTAATAGTCGGTCATCCAACGTTATTTGTTCAGTTCATATCTTAGTAATCTATCAGTTATTTATAATAATATGTTATCAAATGATGAACTTTATTCTTGTAAATAATGTTAGTTACCTTTATGAATTAATAATGAACGTTTTACAGCAAATTATACCTTCATCATTTATAATTATGTCTTTGTATGTAGAGATATAAAAGCTATTGCTATTAAACGAATTAAAATCGAATTAAGCAAAGAATATAAAATATTAATATGTTACTAAAAGCAGTATGAGAAAGTGACTACTGAACACGTACTGCCAACTACAGCTGTATCTTCAATTCGTATGAGTGACCCAGTACAGTTGAGGGCTGCACTCCAGCAAATTGCAGACAGCTGAGATAGCTCGTCGCAGTCTCACATACTACCGTCTAGATTGCACATGTAGTGTTCGCGCCGATTGTGAACTTTGCCCTTCCTGGTAGGGCTGCCGGTGCCACTAACTGGAAAATTACGTACAGGAAAACGAAACTAGGCGCATTTGTTGACTTATCGCATGGGTATTACTCATTGCGCGATAGCTGAAAAGCCATGGTAATTATTAGCAACCATAACACGCTTTAATAAAACTAAAAAACGTCGTACATAAAAATTCCTGACTATTTTGACAGGACTAAAGCGTTTCAGAAATTCTTTATTGATATTGCGAGTTTCTCTTCGATTCCCATGTACCTACACCTTAAAAAAAATTACTGGTGTAAAAGTCTACCACCTGGAGACAGTAAAGTTTGAAATTCCGTCTGAGGCAGCCCTACAAGTGCAAAACGAGACCTCATGTAACTAGAGCCGTGTTTATACTTCCTCATTTCTTTGCCCGCTGACCCGCCGCTATCGCTTCATTCAGTCAACTGAATGGGCGCAACATAATACTCGGTGATGCACCAAATCCTAGAAAACACACGTCAGCTTGTGAAGTCGATAACTACAAGTCACTAGAACAAAGTCTAGCTCTACATGGCCGAACAAAGCCTTTTGTTACGTGCCCTAACGAACGAATGACAATCTCACTGGCAAAAACATCAAGGCATCAGATGCCTATCATTATAACTCTTCAGAAGTCATCTCTTCCAACTAGGAGCTTTAACTGTTCCTTGTCATTAAGCTCTACATTATTGTATTATCTACCCAGTGACATTTATTAATGTTGTACTTATAATTAAAATAGGACGTTAACCAATTTACAACTCCCATGTGTCGTCGTGGTGCTCGCGTCTCGCAATTGGTTATAATTGAATAACCCAAGATCACGGTCACGCCACCACGTCTCCGTCTGGTTAAAAAATATGCACTGGGTAATTAACGCGAGTAATCAACGCCTCCATAGGTCGCCATTTCACGTTTCGGTCTAGCGATCTATGGTTTTTAGATGACTGGCTTATTAAAATTTAATTCAATACGGTGAATGGATTCGATCGAACGTAGCATGCTTTACTTTTACATTAAGTTTTTCAATCTAATTTTTTTGTTCAAACGTAGCTTTTGCTGTTTTATAACATAATCAGTATGTGTTCTTATATCTTGTGGTTACTTTTTGCAAAATAAAGATATTTCTGCCATGAGGCATAATTAATTGTGCAAATTAAAGTATGAATTTTAATAACCGAGAGATTATTTATTCGTAATTCCTATATGAAAATCATTTTATCAATAGTTATACCATGGTATGACCATGGTCCCTGAGGACCCTGAACCATACGTAACTTATAGTGGATAGATAACTGTCTTTGAAAATTTACCTAAAAGACCGAAACGTATTCGTATAAGTAAGTACACGTGATTTAAAATGTAATAAGTTCTTAGACATTTGATTTACTTTTCCAATTTTTGGCATCATAAGTTAAAACGTACAGACTGGTCGGCAGACTGAGTCTAACAATGCTATAACAAAACAGTGCGCATCGCGAGACCTCTACATTCCGCGATGACGCGGTAGCCACTCTTGCGCATGTTTCGCGCATTCGACCGAAATAGTGCGCGGGGGCTCGCCCCAGGCGTTGTACTCGACACGTCTTCGGAATAAATATTTATCGATCATTGTCCAGAGTATATCTTCATTAATAAAATCGATGCGATTAAGCGACTGCATAAAATATTATTAACAGCAACACAGAAGCATTTGTTAGTCTTTGCACGCCAAGTCATATAAATCTTTATTTAGGTATTATTATAGGATTTTTAAGGCAAGCAAATAGTAGTTCTCCTAGCCTACTAATTCTTTCCTTCTTCAGCAGGATAGCGATAATGCGCATAAAATGTTTTTGTCTATTGATCTATTTTTTCTTTGTTTCAGGTTGAAGAGTACAGAAATGTTTATAGACGAAAATGAGACGTAAGTTATAATTTAATAATCCATTAATATTAAGTTATCTCGATTTGTAAGTCAGAAGCGAATGAATGCTGAATCATAAAGAAAACCAAATAGCATATCTTTACAACCATCTGATAAGTTTGTTGTAGTAGGTAAGCAATATAAAAAATATATTATACATCGACAAACATACGTAGGACTGGGATGCAATGCATTACTGAACGTTTTAGTCGAGCAAACCTGACTCTATTCTGTCATTCCAACGCAGCAATGGAAGAACCATTTGCGCAACCAACCACGCGTTCAAACTATGTAACAGGCACAGTTCAACAGTCCGCAGGATACGTTATTTTAACTATAGTCGTTATGTCTACTCCTATAACGATCACTGTACGCTGTAATTATCGGTTACATAAGAAGCTCCTACCGGCCATTACCTGTTTATTATACGCTAGCCTCTGCGTTACTTGTGTTACGAGAAAATAGTAACTTGTACAGAAGAATTTGTTTCAAAGAAACTCACGAGAGGATATGAACACAAGCCAGGTTGTCGATCATATTGTAACGAAGCTGTTGGCCTTCTCTTTGCTACAGTAATGATGCAGCTGCTGGTAGTACAGCTTCGGACTCCTGGTGACAGTTCAGTTCAGCGAACCCAATTAAAAGAACAGGCGGAGTTCCTTTACAAATATTTGTAAAAAAAATGTGCTGAAGAAAGTAAAGCCCACCGCATTGAGTAATCAGTGGATCTATTGCATGCATTATTTCCGAGACGCTAAGCACGATAATTCGCGCGGGACTGGTTCTTTGAGTTGTCGATGTCGTGTCGTTGCGCACGCGCATGCTTGATCTTTTGCTGGCGCAATTGCCATAACTTTTCCCTTTGCATTTTACTAAAGTAATAACCTATGTGTCATAATGTTAGCGCTATTCGTTAGGGGTAACATAACTTATTTCTGGCTTGGAATTTAGCTTAAATCGATAAATCGGCATACTCTTTAAAAATGAATATTAATCATGAATATCATGATTTGACTGCCTAGAAACGATCGAGATTTTGAGATATGAGAATTTAATTACTAAAGAAAGATTAAGTAATTTTATCGGCATAAAAATAATTCTACATTACAACTTTATCAGATTGTGCTGCGCCGTAACTGCAAAGATAGTTGCTAAGTATAAAGTAATAAAGCTCCTGATTAAACTTGACTTTCACTTGACATTCATTATTACTTAAGTTATTTACAATATCTTTTTTATTTACACTTAAAATTTTAATTCTATAAACACTAGAATTCTCTTGTCGTAGGCCACTTACATTATTTATAGACTTTTCCGATTTATTAAGAATTTTAATCTCTGTTCTTTTAGCCCCTAAATAATTTTCTAAGAATTTCCAATTTCCCACAAGACAATGTCCCAAAATATTTTTTCTGTTATTTAAATTAACTATAATGATCTATACTAGGCCTAACGGGAGGCATATGCACTCATACGACTGGTCCGAGTACCTTGGTTCCCTCTAATGAATGACGCACGCAGTTGAAAACGAACACCATCTAATTCGAGGCAATGCGGTGCAACTTCGTAGTAAACGTGATGTTCATGGATACGTCGTTTGAGGTCAAAGTTAAGGTTGCAGCTTGAACTTCTAAAGTGGCCTCTATACGATTTCAGTGTTGATTTCTTTTCTAACGACGCATATTTAACTTTGGATGCGAATGAATATTTGGATGCTGGATAATAAATACTACTCACATCACAGTATCTTGCTTCTACTCTTACACGTGTGGTTTTGTTCCCCAGTCGACGAAGCGTATGATGTCGTGCTCGTGCCCTGCGTGCCCAAACAACTGCACGCAGTAAGATTTTATGAAGGCTACTGACAACGCCATTCTTGTGGCGGAGTTTTGGACTGACGCTGACTCTGTGTAGGTTTATTGTCGACACGACAAGAAGAAGTCTCTTACACTAATCCGCTTCGGTTACTTTCTCTCAAACCCTATTTCCTTATGGACTCGTAGGTCACTGCTTCTGATCTCCCGTCGGTGTCGGAATTCATAGAAATCTTAGTTAATACCTATCTAATGATCATAATGGGCAAAGGTTATTAGATTTGTGCCAGATTACCTGTTTAGTGATATCAATAACCTTCCTTCTTAGTATCCGTCTGGCCACATCTTTATCTGATAACATTTCCCTATCGGGGCAACATAAATAATGGCAGATATCATTCGATATAACTCCGCCGCTAGTTACTTGGCCGTTCCAGTTGCTCGTCGCGAGTGCCGTGAGTGATTACTTGTGTTGAGTTGTGTCTTGAGATATGCTACATTATCAACGATACGGGTGAGCATTCAGTTTAACTAATATAAATTCAACTGTAATGAAATGTTAATAACATTGATTATTTCACACCTCAATAAATAAAATAATGTGTAGCGATTGAGACGTATGAAGTGGAACATGAACGGATAGAATATGGATTTGCGCAATGAGCTGATAATATAAAAATATTTTTCTTGGGTTTTCCAGACCGGTACTTACTTAGAAGTTAAAATATTTATTTATTGCAAATATGTAACAAGATTTATTTGCGACTTTCCCGGACTATTATGAAATGATGTTTGAAATATTGAACAAAACAAAACACTACACACACTGTGTTACTGACAAACTTTCAATTTAGCAAGCATCGTTTGCTCCACTTGTAAATACAGTTACCGACTCTATAATAGACAATTTTGTTTTAAAGACCTAGGAGTATTTTTACTGTATCAAAGTGCTTATATTATTCTTCCCGAGTAACAGACATTAGCTTAAAATAAGGCCAAAATGACTTAAAAAATTGTCTCTCTCACTAGACGCATTTATGCGAAAATATTGGAAATTCCTTTCACCAATAAACTGCATTCTGCATAGTCCATAACGATACGAGTTATTATTTATGAAAACAACGTCGACCATTACTGGTAATAATTTACATTACAATACATATTGCAAAACAAAAACATTCTATGCAGATTTCACATAATCCATTTTTTTTTCGTACAAATCAAGACTTGGCGGGCACTGGCATATTTTTCAAAGCTCCGAGTGGAGATAAAAACAATATTGTGCTGTTGCCAAAATATTGGCGTAATCCTATTATGAAAATCGTTGGAACTTATCTGATCTGAAGAATGGGATGGGAAAATGTAGAGTCGTTTGCAGAAAGCAGCTCTCCTTTTTGCAGTGATTGTAAAATTAATTAGCAATAAATTTTTATCACATTGTCGTGTGTAATCGGTGATTATTTAAGTCACGAACTGTCACGAAGTTGAGAAAGATTTTAGTATTGAGTATGTGTGTCGTCAGCAATCATAGCCTACTCAAGTGTCATTCAATTAATTGGTTGCGATTTAAAGGTGTAAAATTGATTGATTTGCTCTGTTTAGCTGCTTTCGCTTAATTGCTCCTCCATCAAAAACTGTCCAGATGAATTTCATCTCATCATATTGATGGTTCAACTATTACGGTGTGGCTCGCTGGACATTTCTTACGAGTGTGCAACTCAGCTCTAACGGTGTTTCTTATTCAATATAAAATTGTCCGAAGAAGAGTGAATGATTCTAATGAAAAACACACTGGTAATTTCTCTGGTGCTTTGAATGTCAAAGTGGGCAGTGGTAGAGTTGGTCCACCATTCTGGATCTTCTATAAAACATTGTCATAGACCAAATGGTTCGTTAAGTGGCACTCATGTTGGCATTTCCCGCGAAACTGAAGTAGGTGCCTACAAACTAGTTAGTTGCCGGCCGGCTGGCCCACTGTTTACCAACGTGCTTCGAGCGGGTTCTGCGATGCAATCGGTTTCGGCACCCGATGGTTACGTGGCACAATGCGCCGATGCATAAAATTGAATCGGTATTGTTCTGCGCTTTCTCTATCATTGACATCTTTCGGAGAATTTTAGAAGTGACTCTATGTTTTTTGCAATTCTTTATTATATTTTAGTAAAATTACCACCAATTGCACCGAAAACTTTTGTTGCGTCCTGTCATTCTAATACTGTCGAGTAAAACATTATCCTATGAAAATTATTACAATGAGTAAAATAATCATAATCACGTGTAAGCGTCTGCTAAAATGTCTTATAAGTATGATAAAGTTATATGTAAATATCACCGTTGTGGGAGGTCGACGTCCCAACACGAAAAATACGTTTCGTGGCGTTCGTAGATAGTATTTACGGTAATAATACCCTACTATTTTACTATTTCTACTCGCCAGTCCCATCCGGCCTCTCTTGGAATCACGTCACGGTATAAATTGCTACAGTTATAAACATAGAAATGCTTTTCAGGTTGCTGGCTAATGGACATAGTAATGAGATTTTGATAATTCGAAAGTCGTCAACTGACAACTCAATGGACATCTTTCTTGTGGGTCAAGTGAAGCTTCTTTCGATGTAACACAAAACTCCACACCAATATAATACGTATAGCATTTAAAGGCATCATACTTACCCAAAGTCTCTAACCAATAAAATAATGCTAGTTCACGGCCATATCAAACATGTGTTTGCCGTAGTGTTAACAAACTGCGTCTTATTTACTAGCGGATACAAGTGTTGTGTATCACAATTGCTAGTTTTTTCAACCGCAATTTGTATTGTGGGACTTATTTATAAATCTGGCTGCTTCTTTAGGATTCCTGCTTTGTTCATAATGTAGAGTTTAAAAGAAAGTTACTTTTTGCAAACAATTAGAACGGTAAATGTTAACTGACAGAAGACTAAGTATCGATATTCAATTTTTAAGTCTACAATTAATACAAAGTTTGATGGGATCGTGCATACGATTAGACTTCAACGCGTTCTCCATTTAGTTAATCAGTTATGAACTGATACATAATCAGTTTTGATAACAAGTGAAGTTTGGGATGGTGTTATGGATTGGCGCCGCTTTAGAAATAGTCGCGCGAGAGCAAAGTCCGCTCGGCAGACCGCGCTCAAGGCCGCGACATTATCCGCGAGTAAT